CAACATCTTCTCGTTTCTCAAAAACGGGTCAAAAACAAAACAAAACAGTAACGGAACAAAATTAAACCACCTATTAGAGCCCAGTTAACATTCCGTTCCTTCTCTTCAGAAAGATAGGTAAACTAAGGGATAAATAGTCGTAGCTTTGCCTTTCTAGATCTTCCCACTATTATCAGAGATGAAATCTACGGTTAGCTGTTAGCACCTTGTCTCATTGATGAGGGTTTCGTGCTTGTGCCTTATGGTTTTGATTAACCTGATGGCTTAGGGCCAAACCTAGGCTTGTGTGTCTAATTACATCACTATCGCCCTGGAGAAAATGATCAGCAAATATCCACACTAAGGAATCTATACTAAGTTTCTAGCTAGGTTCAAAAAGAGGTGGACAATATCGCATGGCGAAAAGTAGCTTTACCATGCCGTATCACAGTATACTGCGTCTATCGTCCAGCTTTGAAAGCAACGAGCAAAACCTTTGAGGGAATCTCAGCTCCAATATACCCAGATTCTGTACGGAGAATACCCTTCTGCAATAGATTAAAAGTTTGTAACATGGACGATGAAATCTCCTCTCCGTGGGCCGAACCTAGTCTTTGATATGTGATACATCGTAACACATTGTTCCACATGATTGGCGATGGGCTGGAGCGGTTCCCGAAGTGGTCGAACTTGAGAAGCAATCGCCAATGAATCGTTATACCCGTGGCACATTTTGACCAAAATCCTCTCCTGACTCCTTGTATTCCATCTCCTGTAATTGGGTAGTATTCCTATCGCGCGCAAGCAACAGGTAACTTGGTAAGCAACAAGGGCTGCCCGGCTGAGTTACATCGTGGAGTTCAGGAGTGTTTTGGAGGTTCCCCTGGGGTAGAGGATCTTTGAATGAGGTTACCTGATCAGGCACCAAAATAGTTCAGACGACGACGGACGTTCTAAAGCAAGAACGCAGGCAACAAATATAAGTTTGGGAAACCGCTTATCACGACCCTTAACTGGTTTAACTACCGACCGCAATGGACCTCTTCAGAGCTATTGTTATCAATTTTAGCCAGAGGATTCATCTGATCAGTACTCACCTAGGGCAACTGCGTGTATCCAAAATGATAGAAATTGGAACAGAGAACGAAGGAGTTCGAGTGTTTTATTCAGCTCGTGGACAAAAGCGTTAGAGACCTCTATTTCACCCTTGACCTGAGCTCCACTGTTACTCAAAAAACTGTTATTTATTTTCTTACTTACGTGAGAACAATAAGTACGAATACAGTTATGGAAAAGCTTTCAACCTTCCCATATTTTGATAACAGCTTTAATTTCGGGTCATGTGAAACAACTCGTACAGTTTATCTGACTTCTAGAGGATGTCTTGGAATAACGTGAAGCTAAAACGAGAAGGTTTTACCACTTCGGAAAATTTTATCCACGATTGTAACTACCATAGTCATAAGTAGAAGCCAATGGGATGTGGATCCCGTGACACGCCCCCCTAAAGAAGCTATTCCGCTGACCACACCACTCTAAGCCAGATACAGCCTTACTCTTTTCCATGGGGCAATAAATCTACTTATAACCCCGGCTTTTCTATCAGGTAAAATATTAAAATCGCCATCCGCGCTACCCGCTAAAGAATATGGCCTCGTGCAATACACCGCTACTGCAGTCTGCAGCCGCCCTTTTCCCATGACCTGACCAGGTAGATATGCAGTAGAGTAACCTCGACGCCCAAACACCACCACACCCCGCCGTAGCGTTACATGTGTCACCCATCACCTCGTTAAACCACATAACACTTAGCTCACACAAGTACAGAGATCTGCAGGCTCGTCCACCATCGGATCCAGGTTCCAGGACGAGTGGTTCAGCTGCATGCTGCTTAGGTATTAATGCATCATTACAAAGGTATATTTCCCCCATGTCTGTCACCAACAAATATCGTCATGCTGGTAAGGTATCAAGATTAAAAGAGGAGAGGAAATCCTTCGTTTTCGCATACCCAATTCGCCTCACCTTCCGCACCCAACACACAGCATATATAAATACTCCGTATGACACCGATCCTCAGCCTTGGTACGACCAGCCCTTAGAATCGTGGAGGCCTTGCAAATACCATCCGCATAAGGCTTCTCCGCCTTGGAGGAAGGAATATTGATAGCACATAGGACTCGTCTTGCTGAGATACACCACGCCACCAATTTTCTATCGAGGAGAGTTCCTAAAGCAAGTATATTGCAAATATATACGGCCCTAAAAGGGATAGGATTCCCGAAATCCCGAAAATCTTCTGCGCCACCAGAAACAGCCTTCGTAACGGTCCCCCACACCCCGCCAATTAGAAAAATACAAGGGAGAAATGATGGATGCGTTACCAAAGAAACATTCAACAATCAAATTTAAATCTGCGCGTTCCATTATCCAACTTCCATACTACTGCAACCACTACATTACCAACAGTCACCAACGAACCAGTAAACACCAGGAAATACTGTCTTCAGCCCTGCCTTGTGCTGCCAGTGCCACGTCCACGATCCATTTCTTCAACGCAGCCACCCGAGAACGTGTATGTAACCGACACACCCCTGTAGGTGCACAAACACCCATGCTGACGGCGTACATAAATACGACGTTATTCAAACCCATGACCATAACCCTGACATGCAACCATTCGATCAAAGTTCCCAAGAAAACACCCTGGTACAATCCTGCCAACCGCTGTAGGCCTTCAAGAGAATAAAAAGATCTAGAATCGGAGATAGCAGGGATTTTTTGACGTGGTACAAAAAAAACATGTGAATTTCGTCGCGAAAATTGCCGTTGGGGATTTACCAAATAATTGTTGTTTCTTGGAACACAATTATTTTCTACGAAGAAAGAACGACATCCATAAAACTTAACATAATCCTGAAATACAGTATACGAGCTAAGTTCAAATAGAACCATCTCAAACCCCTTTGGGAAGGAATGTAATGCCGACGTGGGTAAGCAAACAACACAACGCGACCCCTCCATAAGCACGAGGTCATGCCATCACATCACAACCACAGATACGGCGCTAGCCCAAAACCGACCATATATTGATAAGCACGAAATGCCATTCGTATGATCTGATTCCGAGTAATAACCATCGGTACTATAAGTAACATGGAAGGAATTATGGATATTTTTCTTCCGGCTCCTCTGAATGCTTTCCGGCATCTTGTTTTCTAGTCCTCTCAGCCTCTAGTACAGATATGTTGCTCCTCTAGCTCAGATAATGAACATGAGAAATCTCAATCTTATGTGCCTTAAACTTCTCTTACATAATTGATGTGTTTATCTCGAGTGAAACCCTAGATTTCTAGCTGAGATCAACCAAGTGACGCCCAAGCTCTCAGTGCTTTCAATGCTACCAGTAGCTATTCTCACAATTTCCATACTTACAATGCTATTATACTACCAACAATACTTTCTCTACCTCTGAACCTAACCCTACAGAGAATTTATACCGTATACTCCAAGAGTCCAACAATATTCAAAACCTTTAGCGATAAAGCCTACTTCCCCGCCCCAACAAGAAAGAAATCATGTAAAGCGACCAAAGACCCCATACTGTCTACCCAAAAACTTCCTTGTTCCAATGCAGCAAACACTCTCATCTCTCAAGAATCACATTTCTGTAGTAGCTCTCTCCGGCCACTCTTGTAGTTCGGTACAGCGTTAGCGTTACAAGAAGCTTGCAAGTACCGCCGTCAGTCAAAGCAACAGTGACAGGTCCATAGCCATTGCCATCCCCAAACCCATTTCTCCTTCCCACTTAGAGACAGATCCATATACTGAGCTTTTGGCCGCCACGGTATGAACATCTCAAATAATTCTCCATCCAGTCGCCTTCCACAAGACGGTCTCCCCGTTTATCCAGTTCCATATCAGAACATCAGAGATGCAAGGTGAAAGCGTGGAAGAGGACTTATGAATGTACGACCAGCCCAAATGCCAATTTCTGAAATTAATCATCACATCACATGCTTATCAAGTCTCATCCCTTGGTCCTTCGTCATAACAAGAATACATCAACCCTCTGCACAAAACAAAACAAAGCTTAAGCGAGTCTACCTCACCTTACATACCTCACCCCATTCCTTTTGTCAGGTATGAGTTAGTAAACCAGCATTCTAGTCAGAATCTACAAATTTAGCTATCACAGCATATTCTCCAACTCATATTTGCAAGACACGTATGCACATATACAAAACCATCCCTTGTATTAGTACCACAAAGCAAATAACGACCTATCACACACCCCTCTCTAGTCTCTCCTCCTATACACACCCCACACCATCCATTCCCCAACACCCACCAACCACCAACTCACCTACCTAGCTCCGTCTACAAACCCACAAACCCATCCCACCCATCCTCTTCCACCCATCTCCCCCAGCTCCAGCCCCAGCCTCCAATCCACGAAAAACAAGAAGAAAACGTGATCTCAAAGAACCACCAAACGACACACCATCCAAAAAGAAGGAATCCACACCAAAAGAGCAAAAATCCCCTTCCCAACAGATCAAGAGAAGAGAAAACAAGGCGGCTCTAAGCCATGAAAATATCTCTCGGGTGCTAGGTATCTTCTTCCCCTCTTGCTCAGGTCGTCTGAAACGTATATATTGTTGTATAGAGTTGCGTATAGTATATACATATCTAAGAGTGTATATGTTCCACAAAAAGGGACTCGGCGGCCGAAAAACAAAATTCATGCGCGCCAACATACATCGCTCGCTCGCTATCAGGGGGAATATAGCTTGAAACGTATAAAAACAACTCCTCAAAAGCAGCCGCCGCCGCCGCACTTAGATTCTTAAAGGAAAAACAAATAGTATCCACTCCCAGCTCGCGCTCCAGGTCCGTCGTATAGAAAGAGTCTATCTGAGAAACTCGCGAAAAAACGATCGGCGTTCGGTAAACATTCAAAAAAAATAGATTGGCTTGCTGATCGCCCAGCACAGTTGGTTTATAGACACTCGCTCCTCTTCGCAACATCACAACCATCCACGCCATACGTCATCCATCTCGACAAGGTATGTAACATTTCCCTTCCGCTCGCAAACAAATGATTATAAAAGATAGATAAGGACCAGACAACAAAAAAACAGTGTGAGCAAAAGCGCCATCGCTAAAGATGCTGATGATTCAAGCCGCCACCTTCCCAAAACCAGACCTTCATGCGCAGTCCGATTTCCAAACAAATGCAAATATTATGTACGATTTCTTTCTTGAAACATGATGATGATATGATAGCAACTCAAGACCGCCTTTTAACGCCCACCCATAACCGTATCAGCCGGCGTCCCACTCGAAAAGCTAACATTCGCGCTGGGACCCGGACCAGGACCTAAAAGTCCAAGATGTCGACCGGTATGGCTAAGAATAAGGTAGTCCTTCCACAGAGCCGAACTACGCTGCGCGACGAGTTTGAGCATTGACATGGTTTTCTCGAGAAGATCTTTTAGTTCGGCTTCGTTGACGAATTTACAGAGGATTGGGTCGTTGTATGCAGCTTGTAAGGTGAGCATGTTTCCCCATTGACTGTTTGTATCAGGTTAGCAAGAGTTTTTGTGAATGAAGGAAAAAGGGTGGGGGCAGAACATACGCATGTGCAGTTCCCCAGATGTTGGTTACGATCAATCGATCTTTTCCTGGGTCTCCAAGCCCATGGAATGCCTTTGTACTCTGGATAAGTGCTTTGATACAAAATTCCGAATACTCGAGAGCTTTTTTGTCGATATGATCCTCGTTGGCCGCAGGTACAGGTACACCGCTCTTGAATTCATTACTCATCTCCCCCGCCCATGGCTTTTTATGGTTGTCTTTAGACTGGGCCTTGGAGGCGTGGTTTATGTCAAGAATCCTCAAAACGAAATGACGATATGTGATGACTTGGGCGCCATAATACTTGGCTCTTAACCGGGCCCCGAGTATATCGGTTGCTGGAGGATCATTTTCTTTCCATGCCATAGTTGGCGCAAAGCCAGGGATATTATTCAGACTCTCCTGGCAGGCTTCAATGGTAGGAAAATGTTTGGGCTCTTTACCCGCATACACAGATGGGAATTGGGAGTCTTTGTCCAAAATTAGTCGCAAGCTTCTTCGCTAGGCTGCTGTGGATAACTAACCAGTCTCGGGCTTATAGAACATATTGTGCAACAGATTCAGATGTTTTCGCAGGAACAATTGGGCCGAGTAGCTCTCGACTACAATTGGATCGAACCCATCTTGCTGCATTACACCGAGGTTGGGACTGGGCATATCTTCCTCGTACGTGAGGATACCTGAGTGCGGGCAGGGCAATTCCGCGACAATATCACTAACACGTATTAGTATAACGTGATTTGCGTGATATTCGAATGAATGTACCTTTCAAGTTGCAGACATGTCCAGAACGCTATCACAAGTGGGTTGTCCTTTGCAGGCACAACCGTACATTGCTTTTTGCTAGCCGTAAATCTGTCCAATTTTCTAGCGCACAATTAGTCAAAAACGATTAGGAATCAAGGCGGGACAAAATTTACGGTCTGAGGATGACTTGGAGCCCTCGACAAGCCTCGTGTATGTATGCATGACTTTCCATTACTCTCGCGAGTTGCCCGTGATAAAGACCAGCAAGAATGTTCACATGAACATGCTGAAGACTGTTCCCTCCAAGCTGATTGCCAATAATGTCGGTGGCCAGAGCAAAATAGAATAAACCTGGAATAACATCAAGATTCTTTGCCTTCGTACCCCCATTCATCCGTGTCGTATAAGCACCTTCAATTGAGGTTCTTCTACTCCTAGGTTGGGCTCTATCAGTGTCCTGAGGTGAGGGCATGCCCATGGGAGTTGACAATGAAGGAGAGCTTTGTATGGGAGATTGTGGGATCCCATTTCGCATTGTGGGTGAGTTGCTCCACGATCCATCCGGCTCTCTTTCAGTCACCACGTCAGGTATTGCTCCCTTGTGTTTAGAAACCGCGCCAAGGGCTAGGACTAACAGCACCAAGGCGGAACTTATTGATCTGTACGGGTGTCCAGGTTTGATGTCCCATGGCGTGTGGACTTCTGGGTGGTCCCCCAAGCCAGGCGACCTTTTTCTCTTGTGGCCTGGGCTCTCCGGGTTCCTGCTACCCACAAACCCAGCAGATACAGATGTAGCAAATCCAGCTACAAGCGAAGAGACCTGTTTGGGCTTTGCCTGACTTTCTGGAGTTGATTTCAAGAAGTTCTCTATCAGCACATCTAGTCGTGAAGGGACTAAAATAGGGTGCATGGTATTAATATTCTTCTTGTAACTTTCCACCAAGCTGATAACAGTCTCCCTCGAAAAATCGGGCATCCCTTCGAAATTAATGTTTCCGCGCTGAAATTCCGGAGGTGGGTTCCCGGGTGGCGTAAGTCCCCCAATCTGACCCCATTCCTCCCCAGCAGGAGAAGATACATCTGAGCTGGTGTCGCCCGCATTGCTGTGGTCGGACCCATGGTCAATAAGAGGGTCGCGGTCATATCCTGGGGGCGCGTCAATTCCTTCCCCTCGTCCATAGAGCCTCAAAAGACCTCGTTTCTCCTCCTGGATGATTGGGTACTTTTCGTTCTTTATTCGGGTCGTTTCTATAATCCCCCTGCACAATTCCTTGATAGAAGGAACCAACAATAATCTTGCTGCTCCCGTTGTGTGATTTACTGGAATAGAAGGCGCCTTGGGCGGCCCAGGGTCTCCTCCTTCTTCTTCCTCTTCCTCGTCGGCTCTGGGGGAAAGTGGTGGATTTTCTGCATCAAGCAAATGCATTATACTTGGTCCATCTCGCTGTTGAAGTTGGCTAGACGAGTCTCTATGCTGGAAATTGCCAGGCGTGGATGTATGTGGTGACTCGGACATCAAGACTTGGGGATCTGATTCTGGACGTCTCATATAGATATTAGTATCCACCAAACTAGGCGCCGATTCCTGATTTTCCCTTTTCAAGGGCGCTTGACTCTCTCCATTTGATTGGCGACTAAGAATGTTCGCTTGAACCTTTTGCATCTCCAGCATCTCCTTTTGCATGCCAAGAATATATGTTTCAATCCGAGATAGCGTGTCTATAATTTCACCCTGCGCTTTGTCTTGTCTATTTCTGTCAGCCAAAATGATCAAACATAGTGCTACTGTTCTACGTACTGCTTCGGAGGCGGATCGCGATAGCGACATTCTATCCCCTTTTCTCTACAACTGCTGCAACCCGGACGTCCTTCGTCACATTTTCCTTTCAGTGTACGACAGCTGTCGCATGCTTGCGCCGCGCGTTGGGCCTTGGGTCGTTTCGCGCTTTGCGCGGTTGACGCAGCCGGGTATGATACGGAATATGGTACATCTCGTGGTGCTGGGGGAGGACCAGCAAAATGTTGATGGCTGTACGGTTCAGTGGCCGTCATGGGACTTTGAGGAGGCGGAAATGAGGCGGGTGCTGGTCTGTAGGACGGATGTTGTTGTTCGTGATGGGCAAATGGGGGCAGTGGGTGTGGGTATCCTCCGACTCGTGGTGCATCATGAAGTATAGGTGTATTTACGCCCTTCTCTGTTGGTGTTCCGGTCGAGGAGGGTCGGTACTGAGAAGGAGGTTCATCCGATGGATCCCTCTTCACCATGGTCGGTTCTCGTTGTGGTGCTCCAAATGGAGGTGGTGGAGGAGGTGGTGGGTGGTACCCATGTGTTGGACCCGAGTTGGGTCTTTGATGTTCGTACTGTGGGTGATCGCTATGGCCTGATGGCCGACGGTCTATAGGATATTGAGGCTCAGGACGTGAAAACGGCGATGTGTGGTAGGGAGCGGATGCTGGATGTGGCAAATGCCTCGATCCCTCGGTTGAGCTTTGCCATTGTCCAGGTGGTGGCCCTGATAACCGCGGACGCTTCTGGTCAGGCCCTACAATGTCCATCATAACTATTCACAAAACTCAGGCGACCACCGCAGTAGAGGCCATGGACGGCAGTCGAGCTCGGCGGCTTCTTACAGGTCCTCGATGAACACAGAGACGTTGGGAGCTTGCGGAAAGATCATCTGCACTTGGTGGGTAGGACAGGCTGACGTGTTGAGGAAGGGAGTGTATCATGTAACGGGTGCAGTACAACCGTTTTCCCAAGGAAGCGCGCTTGAGGTTGATATCGAAAGGTTTTTTTCACAGTCTTCCGTATTCTGGTTGCGCCCACGTTGATCAGTAGAGGCTCGAAAAAGCATGAACCACCCTCGGTTCTGAGGCAGGGGACAGCTGTCGGGCACGAAAATGTCTAGTGCAGGAGAATGGCTGGTATGGGTGAGGGAGTGAGTAAGTGAGTGTGGCCTTGCTACGGCTCTAGGGGACTCGTACCGGTGATGTGATGTGCTGTAATATGAGGGAAAGCCTATGAGAGGACTACGAAGGTGGATCGGCCTTCTGGAAGATGCAATGCGAGGCGGCGCTTCTGGTAGGTTGAGGTGTTGGTGTTCGTCTACTGCTACCGCAAAACGCAGAACAGAGTAGGCAGAGGTGGATGTGGACGTCAGGAGGAAAGCCTTTCTCGCCTGGATGCAGCCAGCAAGCAGATATGCGAGACGAGCGAAGAGAAGCTCTGGACTGAGCACTAGTAACTGGGGGCGTCAGTGCAGCAACGATGGGTGGGAGGGGATCCCTGGACTGGGATATGCGTGCGGTGCGGCTGCGGGACAGGGCGCGCGGAGGTTCAGGTTGCTGGAGCTTGCTTGGTGCTGCTGCTTGCTTGGTGCTTGGGGGTGGGAAGGGGAGAAGGGGGGGCTTGTCGCTTGGAAGGCAATGGGCAGGGCGTGGGACTCTGGTGGGTGCAGGTGGGTTGCTGTACCGTAAAGTACGGAGTACGGCGCAGTAATGTCGGAAAAAAGCTTGAAGGGGCAATGAGCGAGAAGCTATTCAAGCTACAGGACTGCAGGGCTTGCGGTAGGCAGTTCCTAGGAGGGAGTAGCTCTCCGTAGCTGTAGCTGTAGCTGTAGATGTAACTGTTGCCGGCAGCTGTGGCCGTGGCTTTCTCCCAGTCACCACAGAGCTGCTGGACGGGCTCTGATGCTGCCACTACAACGAGATCAAGCAGAAGCGATATCGGTTCGTAGGACGGAGTGTCCAGTGTGGAGGGGAAGACCAACGGCCAGCGTCTGAGGGTTTTCAAGACAGGCTGAATGCCGGGACTTGACAGAGACGTTGAGCTTGGCGACGACGAGACGAGCGCCTCTGCTCTGATGGGTAGTGAGCCTAGCTACTTCGAAGTAGACGTGATGATCCCGCCTGGTCACGGCGAGGGACGCCGTTATAAAAGCCAGAATACCCCGTGGGCCCGTACACCACTGTAATCGGATCTGATAGGATAGCCGATGCCCTTACTCGAGTAAAAGGGGGGGTTGGACACGCCGCCGCTAAACTTGCCGCAGGGGCTGCGTAAGTAAACTAAGCAGTAAACGCTACTAAAGTACGGAGGTAGACTGAATTCCGCTACTTGTACGGATTGCGTGTAAATCACTGCCAATCTCACAGATCAAGCAGTTGGGCAGCTTGGGATCTTCCTTGGTCCTTGGGCATCGCGAACATCAACATCCGTACCCAAAAGCCGTTCGGTTGTCCCCACAGCATTCGTTTTCGCCCCAAGTTCGCAACGTTAGAGTAGAAGACCGAGAGATGATGGAGACTACTGGCTGGAGAGCTGCTTCAACCTAAGATAGCGGGCAGCCTTAGACTCCATGGAGTCTAGGCTAGAGATTCCCGGACTTGACGGTACGGTGTATGAGTTAATCGGGCCCCAAAACTTCCATGGGGCGACGTCAATGAAGTCTTTACAAATTGGCAATAAATGACAGATGATGTTCGGTGTTTGGTATTGATATTGGATCTTCGCTCTCTGAGATCAAGCTGATGTGGCTGCGGTCGGTCGCTAGTGTTTTCTCAACATACCAGCCAGTCCACTCGCTGCGATTAGAACCCCTCCCGACCGAAGATTGAGATCGGGCGGCGATGAGTAGAAGCCTTCCTTTGGAGCCGAGTCACACACGTCCAGCGGTTCGCACGCATTGCTCTATTTCCCCATCGGATCTGGTCTCTGCTCTGGTGGCGTATTTCTGGCTGCAAGACCATTATCGTGCACGTGTCGGTGGAGTCTGACAAAAGTCCCTACAGGTGGAAGCTCTATCGCGGGCCATTATTCTCGTACGATTCGACGGACCGCCATAATTACCGTGTGATCATTGAATCTTGAAGATCCCAAATGCTGACTGCATGGCCTAGAATCCATTACATTCATCACTTTTGCTGGACTGATGACAATCACTTCTTTTCTTTTCTTTTCTTTTCTTTCTTCATCATCTCGTCTCATCTCTAGCTTTCCAATCATCATGTCATGGTGTAAAAATACGGTCGTGATTACTGCTAAAACTCCGACAGATAACTCTCTTTCTCAAGGCGAAAACGATGGGGCGGCACCCATTTTGGCAAATTAGACAGGCATGGCCCACCAACCCACAATCATCTCAACTCGGGCCCGGCACTTCGCCATGAGGACGATAGCGGGGACCAGTCTGGTGGCCGGTGGTGGCGCCTCGCCGCCCTTGGGTTTGTTGACTGGGCGAAATCTTCGCGTTGATTTGGCAGAACGCTTGAAGCAAAACCGACACCATGGGGCAGGGTGAGAACGAGCCAGGGGACCCAGCGAGGGGAGATCCTTCCGATTCAGGGTCGACAGCCCGATGAGGATAATACTTCGTAAATCCCGCTAGAAGAGTGGATTGTCAAGACATTCAAACGCAATCATCAGGTACGAATGTCGTGTATTTTGAGATCACCAAAAAAGTTGGTTCAGTTTGTGGGCTGAGTGATACTGCTGCTGAATACTCTGGGGGCATTCATAGAGTCGTAAAGAAGTCGTCGCGATCTCACAAGGAGGGAAAGTAAGCAGCCGAGGTTGTAGGCTTTTTGTGTTTATATCGAATGCCGTAAAGAGAGACAGTGAGACACTTGAGATTCTTCTCAGCGATTCAAAATTCAAAAACAGGTCTCGCCATTATTCGCCCAGTCGGCACATGGGAAGCAACATTTTGCGAAATGGAGGGGCGGTAGTTCCAGTGGTCGTTTCCGTAGCTGGAAAAATAATGCCCAATCACAAAGGCGTTCCTGGAATTATACTAAAATTCGTTCACAGGCTGCATATACGGCCTGGAATACGCACCATACGAGTACAAACAAGCCGTAAGTAAATGCGAAATTTTCCAACTTCACCTCGTGTCTCGTTCAAGCGAACACCTCTGTGACATGAGAAACTGCCTCAACTAGATCTACCTGTTAACACTCAGAGAAGATAAGCGTCATGCAGTTTCTTACGGAGGCGGTGAGAAGAGTGGCATTATTGTGGTGGGCTAAAAAAAATCCCCCAAAATGATGTCGCTTGATCTAAAATCCCACTTGCAGTATTAATGCCCCGCCGATGACCGCTGAGGTGAGGGGGCCGCTTAAAGACCTTTATAAAACTATATTTCACCGCCAGCCTAGAGGCAATGCGGATTTACGTTATCGATAAGCAATAATGTTCGACATCCAGATTTTCAACCTTTGAGGCGGCCGGCATATAAAATGTTACTCCATAATTTCGGAGAAAGAAATTTGGTTCGTGCAATGAAAATCGAAATTATTATCGGTCCTAAAAGCTTCCAGAAGCCCCAAAGAAATGTGTCTGGTACGCTAGTGATGATTCCTTGATACGAAGTATTAGAAGTATGAAGTATTGCGCGTGAACTTTCAATGTTGTCGTGAACTGAGGCTGGGCTGGGTTGGTTGACCGCCATTTGAATAATTGTTTCGCACGAACTAAGATCCTCTCTTGAGATCTTGAACGATGGTTTGGCACCGACTTAAGATCGCCTTTTAAGGTCTCCAGTGAAGAGTTTCATTCTATTTCTGCGATCGTCCATCTGCGTTCTGAATCTGACAGTTTCCCGAGGAGTTTTTCTTCTTTGCATAAACAAGTCTTCAGACTTATGCGTGTGTGATAGCTTTCTCCGGTTCCACAATATGATGGGCCCGGTTTAATTTAACAAACAGTGACAGTTCGTCTTCAAACTCTAAACATGCCTTCTCGGGACACTAAGAAAGGCGATCATTAGCACACATGACCAAGGGAAGAGTGGCCATCATGCGGCTGTCCGACTACAGCCGTGAAATCTGAAGTGTTACGATTTTGTAGATACCAGCCACAACCGCCACCAAGATATCATCTTGACATCAGGACTTGTAATACACGACCAGGCTTTTTTGTCCCATATTCAGTACCACATACTTGTACTTTGTACTTCGTGAACATGCTTTCTGATACGGTGTTCAACAGTTCAAGGGAACAGTCATCGGAGTCCAAAAATCAACGAACCTAGACCTTAGTGAGTCCAGGGACAAAAAGTCAATCTCAGTCCTATCGTCTGGAAGGCTAGGGCCACTAAGAGCCACGTTGCCCATGTGGTCAGACGATGGAACGTGTGCAGTACAGTACTGTAGAATCGGTCTTATTTTGTGGCAATTGACGATAGCGAGCCGAACCTCTTAACTCTAAAATCCCCAAAGAAGTTCGACGTTTGTTCCTGAACACACGTCATGTACTACGTAGTACGAAGTAACACACTCCTTGTGTATTTTTTGATCAAAGTTCGGTTTTAAATTTTCGATGCAAGTCCTTGAACTGTATTGATCCTTGAGTTGCTATATTCGACTGGTAAGTTCGGGTTCTCGTGACGGTAAATACCCATGTAAGCTTACCTCAAAGCTCGAATTTCATCATTTAACCATACGGAGTAGAAAATGATAGAATTGAATCATCGTGTCTGGAACAGATGCAAAGCCACCATAGGTTCAAAGTGGCGCGGGTGACTGGTGACCGTTGTTGTGACAAGGAGGGAAGACAGCAACGATATAGAATCTGATCAAGAATTGGATTGTCAAGTGACTTCCACGGAGCAAAAGTAAAAAAAGGTCCCAACGACCCAGTATCCGGGGTCGAAATAGAGCCAATATGCCTTGGGCTGAGTCAAATCTCGAAGGCATGAATCTAATCGATGACTCCATCTATATCAATTCGCCTTTTCTTCTTTGACCTCTCTGGTGGCCCAGGCGGCGCCGTTATCGTCTCATGGAGACGGCTATCGCTTTTTGCCGATTGAGCGGGCAATCCGACAGTTTCTCCTTCAGTCAGAGCCAAATCTGATGTTTTTGCGAGATGGGAGGCTTCTTCCATCAAGATGCCCAGAGCTATCAAGGCGGTCTCATCCAAACTCCTCCAGTCTATAGAACCGCCATCTGGAGAAGCACGGGAGTAGAAATCAGACGTATAGGCATGGAGAGCCTTCAACAGATCTGATTCCGGTAAATCGTTAGCTTGAACGTCACGATCGTTGGCAAAGTAGATATCGTGTTCAGCGAATCGTGTTGGCGCGTTTTTCCGACGGAAGAGAACTTCTTCGGGAGCTGATGCAGTGGTGAAAGACGGAACAGTATCGACTGTGGACGCAACTACCGGATGTTTGGGTATGAAGCTTCCATGTGCTGATATACGGCCTATGGAATATCAATGAGGCTCAAATGGTACAAGAGGCGGATAACATACCTGCCACCGCGTCGTAGACGCTGATACGCTTGCGCTTCGCGGAGGCGGCATCGGAGGCCTCAGGCGTGGTCGAGGTAAAAAAAGCACTTTGGGCATACGCCTTTGAGGTCATTTTGGACTTCTGATTCTGTTGCCAAATGAAGCTATCATGAAAGGGCTTTGAAGGGGAAAGAGGGGTGGAAGTCGCGATGTGCATACAGAAAATGGAAAGAGGTGTGGTTGTATAGACTTAAAGCGGCACGATGTAGTGAAGGCGAAATTGGGTGCCGCCTTACCAATTCTCTGGCCCTGGTGCTCAAGCTGCTCTGACTTCATTCGCCCTTCCTCTATGAGATCTTTTAAAATCAGATGTCAGACCTGACAACAGATTGGACAACGGCATTCATCTCATGCAAACACTGACTGAGAGGTGACAACCATTCCCATAGTGAATCATGAATCGCTTTCTTTCAGACCGCTCCGCTGGATTTCTCAGCGCCTCACAATTCGCCCGCATACAGAATTCTAGACGCCTTCAAGATATACAGCTTTGCGCTAAAGTACGCTTTGATGGTGGTCGGAGAGAGTTTATACCAAATGGCGACTAAGCCCCACCAAACAATAACAACGAGTCGTTGATCCAAACTCAAGAATATGGGCCCATCAATCAGGTGTGAATGCGCTCGCTTTGGACATAGACAACAGAATGTAAGCGAGGAAAACCTCTCTATTGTGTGAGAATATGCTGACAACAACAGCCTCACATCCGGAGGTGCAGATTCTTCCCTTAACTTGTGGAATTTAGAGGAGCATGCTACTCCATCAAGTCATACGTTCAAACCCATAGCATCGATCGCAAGGTAAACATTTTCTCGGTTAGCAATGTATACAACGTACTAACTACTTTTTCAGAACTGCTTCCGCACATCAGTATGGCATCACTCAACTGAGCTTTTACTCTTTTGACTCGGATGCATTTCTGTCTTCCTCCTACGATCATCACTTGAAGCTCTATGCCACCGAAACCCAACAACTGTCAGCAGATTTCAACATGGACTCAATTGTATACGCACACACCCTCTCGCCTATCGCCAATCATCTCTTGGTGGCTTGTGCAACTCAAAATCCTGTTGTTAGACTAGTTGACCTCCGTTCTGGAGCTAATACGCATTCTCTCCCAGGCCATGCTGGCGCTTTGCTTTCATTGGCTTGGAATCCTACCGTCGAGCATGTTCTCGCAAGTGGCGGCGTAGATGGGACACTCAGATTGTGGAATATTCGTAGAAGCACGGGTCCTCTAGGAATTTTAGATATGGAAGATTGCCGTGGTATAGGTGCAGCTGGCGGAGCACCTCGTTATCGACTCTCGGCAAAATCACATCACAGTGCTGTCAATGGCATTACTTGGACTGGGGATGGCTCTTTTATTATATCAGCGGGACACGATGAAAGAGTTAGAGTATGGAATGCAGCCAATGGAGCAAATACTTTGGCGAGTTTTGGTCCTACTCTTCGGAATGGCCACATGTCAACTCTCCCCCTTGTTTTGTCACCAAGCGGTTCGACGGATTTGAAAAGAGATCTTCTCTTTTACCCAAATCAAAGGGACTTACTGATGTTTGAGCTACACCAAGGCAAGCTTCTTAAACGCCTTCGAGTTCCTGGACCAGTCGACGCAACGGTCAGATCACGAACCGGTGAAAGAATCGTGAGAAATCGTATCACAGCTCTTGCCTGGAAGGGCCAATCCGATGGTATTTTCTCTGCGCATACAGATGGCCAAATTAGGGCTTGGTGTCCTAGGACAGAAGAAGACGATGATCTTGATGCAGAGGAGAATGACTCTAAGAGACCGAATGATGATAACTATGACGATAATAGTAATACCCAAGGGAAGCGGAAACGGCAGGTCTTGGAGAATGTTTATAGAGATCTGACGAGACAGAGAGTTACTTTCGGCTAACTGTAGAATAAATCAAAAAAGATTTCTCTTCGTGTTCGAAAATTTTGTGAATATTCTTGTTGCATTTTGTTACGTAAATACTTTAGAACAATTAGAACTAAAATAAGTAATGTACCGAAATTTTGAAGAATAGTTACTTATAATTTAACGAGATGCTTATTGTACTAATTATCCTAATCAATATAGGTAGAACAGTTGAATTACTTGAGTGGATTTATGTACACCCAAGGAATTCATTGAAACAATTACTTTTATTCTTAACTACTACATGTTATTTACTATATTTATAACTCGAGCTGAATAGATAATTCAATAGTCTAGATAATCTTGTATAAATATCTACAGATTCTTTAAAGAATATACTAGTAACTATTTAAGCCTTCTAGAATAGTCGATTTTCTCATGGGATATTTGCTATAGTAAGAGTTTAGTTGTTTACTCTTATTCATTAATATAATCTATCTAAGTTATCTTATATAAACTACGAGAATACAAGAACTTTCTCCCTATTTCTTGTTTACCGTATTAATTAGATTATAAGATAACATTTGTGAATAAGATTAAGGGACATACATGACAAGGTTTTGAATTTTCAAAACACTAATATCTTATAAATTGTTACTAACTAGAGGGCTTGAACTTCAAACAACTACTTAAAAGAGTAGGGTAAAATATTTCATAAGATGTTAATAGTTTTGTTTAAGATAAGCTTCTTTTTCAACTCTGGAAGCTTTCTATTTCTAAAATGTTATCTTATAACTTAATTAACATGATACTACGAGACTCATAGGCAAGTTCTAACCTACCGTAATACAAATTGACCCCTCCATCTGCCCCTCTTAACTCATGCGAGATAACGAATTCGCAGCTGTGCACGCACCTGGAATGGGCATCACTTCATTACAACCCTGCCATGGAGGTTTCTATCTCGATTTCGGATTTTTGTCTGGTTAACCTTCCAGATAATCTCTATGCCGACGCATCAAAGCGGATTTCGTAGAAATCTTGAGGCTCGGCCTTCTTTCACCGCCGCCAACGATTTGGGGAACTATTTTGAACCCGGATCCGTTCCGCACTAGTCCGATTTAGCCCGAATTAGTCTTTCCAACTCCGATTACCTTCCGACTGATGGTTCCTGGACATAAAGCTATTCTAATCTCCCGGTATTTTTCTGGAAGTATCGCCTGTATCCATCTGCTTCGTCTAATCCCAAATACCTCTAGTGATGCGTTGTCAAGCTTTATTTAAGCATATTTTATAGTTCTGGACCTTACTCGTAGTGCCGTCACCAAGAAGCATTGCGGGGCATCTAACCAGGTGGGGCACGGAAATACGGCAAGTTGGCTGAGAAATATTTCTCTTCAGCAAATCAGAGTAATTTGTGCAAGTGCCACTTGTTTACCAACATGTGTGGCAAGTAAAACGACGTTCTGTTTTCAGATGCGGTGATGATGAAAAATCCTCCCCATTTTTGCTAACGTGAACTGACCAGTAGCAACGTTGACTGTGGTCGGAAAGCTACTTCCTTCCAGACTTTACTACTAGGTATCGTCGATGTCCGAGGATGTCTAACCTATTTTTTCCTAGTCAGTCCGTAGTCGGAATGGTACTGTTAATTTTCATCGTGATTTTAGGAAGCTGTTTGTATTTCAATTCTTCAATCTGCATTTTATTCAATTCACTATCTTATGTTCCGAATTCGGCTCTGAAAGTTGATTGTGAGAAGCAGCTGTTGCCTTTCATAATTCATGTCAAAAAGGATCACAATCGCTCCCACTCTTTATGTCCACCTGATTAAGTTTTCAGCATTCGTTCGAGAAGAATTTGGTCTCTCTCACATAAACGGTACCAAAAAGAGGGTATTGCCTCTATGTCTAAAAGACTTGACAGTCCTCAGTACGATGATCATACATCAATTCATTCAATAGCCAGCGAGGAACACACTCGAAATCTAGAGCACATCCCAACTCAATTCTCTCACACTCAAGATGCGCCAATTGAACCATACACCTCGAATATTGAGGTCTCTGACGAGATCTACGACGGACTTCCTCATTCCAAGAAAGTAGTAATTGTTGCACTGCTCTCTTTTTGCAGCTTTCTTGCTCCCATTTCGAGCACCACAGTTCTGGCTGCTATTCCAGAAGTTGCAGCTACCTACCGCAGCACAGGAACAATCATCAACTTAAGCAATGCACTTTATTTGCTCTTCATGGGTCTGAGCCCGTGTTTCTGGGGTCCATTGAGCCAAGTTTATGGAAGACGAGTGGTTCGCTTCCCCTTACTTCTTCGTCTGACAGGTTTGGAAATGCTAACCGATAGTGTAGATATGCTTGACAACAGCGGTTTTGTTTTGCTGCTGCTCACTTGGTACAGCACTGTCGCCGAACTTGGTTTCATATTTCATCTTTCGCATTCTTACTGCTTTTGAAGGCACTTCCTTCCTGACCATTGGTGCTTCGTGTATTGGCGACATCTACCGACCCACAGAGAGAGCCACAGCAATGGGATGGTTTCTCTCTGGCACGCTCATCGGACCAGCCTTTGGTCCCTTCAGTAAGTTGCCCAGTATCTTCACCTTTTACTTACAACTTACAAGAAAACAGTCGGAGGAATCATCGTCACTTTCAAATCCTGGCGCGTAATCTTCTACCTCCAAACAACCCTCGCTGGCGCGGCCGTAATCGGAGCATACTTCCTCCTTCCAGAAACAGCGCACCGCAAGAAGTCCGACGATTTAGTAGGCCTTCCCCTCCGCGCCAAGGGTCGCGTACTGTGGGGAATGCTTAACCCATGGCGAGTAATTCGTCTCTTCCGCTACCCGAATCTCCTCATCGCAGCTTTAGCATCTTCCAGTCTGGTTTGGAACATGTACTCTCTCCTCACACCAATCCGGTACATCCTCAACCCACGATTCGGCCTCGCGACTCCCATCCAAAGCGGCCTTTTCTACCTTGCTCCAGGATGCGGATACATCATTGGAACATTTGTTGGGGGTCGCTACGCAGATTACACGACCATATCTTGGATTAAAAAACGAAACGGCGTTCGTGTCCCTGAAGACCGATTACGTTCAGCCCTTCCATTCATCGGCATAGTAATACCAGTTTGTATGCTGATCTACGGATGGAGTATCGAGAAACGATTTGGAGGCGTTGCTCTACCCGTGATCATGATGTTTATCCAGGGTGTGGCGCAGCTTTTTTGCTTCCCGAGTTTAAATACTTATTGTTTGGATGTGATGCAGGCGAATGGTGCGGAGGTTATTGCGGGGAATTACATGATTCGATATCTGTTTGCGGCGATGGGGAGTGCGACTGTGCTCCCTGCTGTGCAAAAGATTGGTGTTGGGTGGTTCTCGACGATCAGTGCGGGCTTCTTGGTTGCAAGTGCCGTGGGAACTGGAGTGGCGATTTTATGGGGAATGAAATGGAGAGATGGTATTGATAGGAAGATGAAAGCGAAGAGGGGCGAGAAAATGACAGGAGATGAGGCTACTGAGAAGGGAGAGCAAAAGTTTATTGAGGGGAGGGAGGATGAGAAAGTTTGATATTCTGGAGGGCGGATCTAATAAAACGAAACTTGGAGTCATTGGATCCAGACCAATATTGGGCACAAAATACATAGAAGCTACAGATTCATTTGGGGAATTACACTTTGGGCATTATAAAAACCAGTTCAAAGGCTGCTGGTTTTGCTTAGAGATAGAGTACTAGCTAAATCAATAGCTAAAGTATACAGAAGAATAAAAAAAAGAAGTTCTTATCTTAGCTGGAAAAAGATATGGATTTTTTGAGAATTACTTTGACCTGCAGAGTTTCTTCTAAGTATTCCCCCCAAAAATTACGACTTGTAATCTAAGCGGCCCTATCCGGCAGAGCTTTGCTCACTTGACCAACACCTTCACATGAGATTGCCCCCAAAATTCCTCAGAAGACCAATAACTAGTGTATATGAAACTCCGACTTCTGGATTTTGGGTTTCCGAAAAAAATCCCTTGAGTCGGTCTCTCCTTCCCTTGTGATTCAACTCATATTGTTGATTCAAAAGCTGACCTCCTATGCTGGTATCGCTATCGTCACTTTCATCACCAAATGTACATTCGTCTTGGGAAGTCTGTGTGGATTGCTTGGAACCTCTTCTGAACATACTCTTGAACTTCCCAGATCTCTTTTCGGTCTTTGTGGTATCCTCAGTGCGAGAGTCCTCGTCCAAATCGATAAAATCGAACTCTTGATGTGAGTATTGAGAGCCGTTTTGTAACTGATCATCATTATAAGAGGTGCCTTCATTTCTCGTGATTGATGGCTGGTCCAGGTCTACGTCCTCATAAATGTTGCTTTGACGTCGATCTTGTGGTCTAATTCGAGTACCACTTCCATAATTTGGAGAATCTGGGAACTCGAACCCATCGCTTTGGATCAGATCATCTGGCTCGTCTGGGAACTCGGTTCTTTTGCTATAAGATCGATCAAAATAAGGGTTGATTCTAGGTCTCGGAGGTTGAGTGTATTCAGATCCGTCGCTTTGGGATCGATCACTGGGGTCAATGTAAAACCTAGCCGCAGAAAGGACACCTTTCATTCGATTTCCTAGCCGTCGATAGGGACTGCTCGTGCCTCTCGGGACTTTTAAATCGTGTGGCTGGTCATCAAAAAGTTGAAGTGATCACTGTAAGTGATCGCTTGACCCAAGAGGAGTATCGCTCCTGCTCGTTATATCCTTTAAGTGCTATGCGTCATCTTTTGTGGCACTTCCGACCTCGCTGTCGAAAGACGAACGATATTGAGAATTGGAGTTTTCGCCGCCACTAAAATGAGTTTCACCATCCTCTCCATCCTCATTGTCCCATTCTCCTTTTGCTGGAGTGATTCTTAGTCCCGGCCGGTACTGGGTGTCTTTGAGTGGCTTTGGGCGTACTAGCTCATCTGGCTCTTCATTATCGCGAATATAGTCTGAAGGACTCTCGACCCACCACGGTGATGCTTCATATCTCGGGAATGATCAGTGTAGTGAGAAGGAGAATGATTGGTCGATGGGGGTGATATTTCGTCTTGTTGCTTTTCCTCTACTCTGGAATCTCCTTTATTGTTTTGATGCTGGGTGGAGACTGAAGGCCAATCCTTTTCAGAAGCAGTTAGCTCATCGTGGAGCGACGGGTTATTATTTTTGGATCCGGACTGGCGTTAGAGCGATGTAGATTGATCTTGTGGTGAATGTGCTCCTCCATCGCCACCTGCATACCATTGCGATGAAATAAGTTTTTCATTGGCACGTAAATCCTTCCAAGTTGAACTTGGGAGCAGAGCCTTGCGCAATTGTGGTACGAGCTTATGGATGAGATCATTCATCTCTTCATCTTTGCAAAACTCGCAAGTTTCACATTGACTGAGAAAGACTACTCGAAGAAAGAAGTGTTCTGTAATTGCCAAATTCTTCATCAATTGAATCCATGTAATGCCGGAAGCATCACGAATCAATGATTCGGCAATTTTTTTGGTTGTCAAAATCACTACATGAAGCTCGCTTATGACGAGGTTCCTCGTGAGAAATTGAAAGAGTTTAGGTAATCTTGGGCTGAAGTCAAGGGTTCTGAATGTGATATTCAAACGAAGCCTTGATCCTCGATTGCCAACGATATTATGATGACCACTCACATCGATCGCGTTGCTGTTTGTCGGTTAATTAGCTTTGCATTCAATTACTCTAAAAGACTTTGAAAATCAAGTTGACAGGCACTCCTTGCTATTGGGTTGTGATAAGAGAAATCGCCACTTACAAATCATCCTCAGGGAAATTAAGAATGATGAAGCCATCACTACTAGTAAAGGTTGCACTTCGAGGGCGAGTGTCAGCAGCCACCAGAAAGCGTCTCCCAAAAACGGTGTCATTCGAGTAGACGCCTAGAAGATCGCGAAACTTTGAGCAAATATCCTGTGTCAGGGCGCCTCCCACTTTCTCTCCACTTTTATTGATTGGGGGGTCGTCCGTAAGCCCTACGAAAACATTCAGAGAGGCAACATGCATCTCCCTCAGGCATTTGGCCCAAGGAATCTTCTTTCCCTTGGCTAGTATCCTCTTCGCAATGGCGCTGGATGTGTTGATTGTAAGTGTAAACTCTTTGAAATCCTTCTTCAACACCTCCTTCATCCATTTGCACCTTGTGGAAGAGGAGAGAACCAAGCTCCTTTCGGATGCAGGAATTGTTGTGCTGGGTCTACTTTCTCTTTTGCTCCACTTCCTTATTTGATCCACTTATAGTTCTGCTGCCTAAATGCTTCATGTCTGCCTAAACCTTACACTCTTTATATAAACACCTTAGATAGCTACCTTTAACAATGCAATCAATTCTCCATGACCTTCAGTACCCAATACCCTTTCAACCCAATAGGAATTTACCTGGGAAAGAGCCAAAATCGTGTCGTAATGATGTCGTGGGATAATAGTAGTTTGATCGTTTCGTTTTTGTGGCCATGGGCGTAAGCTAGGCTTCCTATCCAGTTCAAATGGAATGACTATTTCGTATCCACTCCTGGATAGGTGGCATCCTCTTTCTTCTGGCCGAACATAGAGAATTTTCAGTTGAATAGCTCCAGATTCATTCTTGAAAGGCTCTACCAGGTACTCAAAAATATTTTCGCGTATCGCATGTGTCTCATGATCACCAGAGAAAACAATTTTAGAGCTGTGCAACCTCGATTAGCCGTGGAACAAATTCTAAGGTTCTTTGAAAGTTAAACTGGTTGGAAGAATGATGAGCAGTGGTGAATACATAGGACATACTATCGACCAGCACCACCAGGAAGGTTCAATGTCGTAACAGGTTTCGCGAACAAGGAGAGCTCTAATTGACTGAGACCGCTGAAGATGGTGGTAAGTTTTGGTGCCAAAGCATAATCACCAAATCCCCTTTGAATGGTCGATCTTTCTGAGCCGTCGTCGGTGACATGTCGCAAATTCTGAGCGGAGAGGGATTTGATCCTGTCTCTTTTGGAGGCCAATGCTAGTTTAACGAACACAGGCATTTGTGGTAAGAGGCCAAAACTGATACTGCAGAAAGCTGGGAATGGTTGTTGGTAGTATTAAAGTTAGGAGAACCATGGTATTGAAGCCACCGCACATCAGACATCAAAAGGACCAGATGGCGCGTCAAAACTTTACATAGTTAGCTGGCCCGGCCCCGATAAAGGAAGGAAGCGGGGTATCAAAAGTGAATTGAAAAAGTCATTTGGTATCTATCATTCACCATTATGCTGGAAGTCGCTTCGGTTCGGATATACAGGCAATAAAAGAAAGGATATAAAAGCAACGCCTTACTGATAAACCAGGTAAATTAATTTCATGAGAGCTTTATGATAAAGCTAAAGCATACGACCAGGAAGAAAGATGCCATACTCTACATGATCGGCCCGCTGGGACTCGTCTTGGTTTCAATAATACATACAACCTGAAAACCACATGCTAGATCTGTTCTTGACTCTATAAGGCTCGAACTAAGCTCTCAAGCGAATATTAGGACCAAATGTATTATAAACTAGATAGGTCCACTGTATCTGTAAGTATGCTGAAACATTTACTGGCATATTCCCTGTCTAACCTCCTCCGTTACTGTATATATGTTCAAAATCAAGCCCGCTGCCTTTTTGGAGTATGTAAACAGATTCTGGCCACTGCCTGTAGGCTGGTGTACCATGTAAGATTACCGATGCCCAATGTCCAATCATAATGATATTCGTTTACCTCACTCTATTTGGCGCTCATGAGAAGCGTTATACTTCGTGTCGCTTACTTGATTGCTTTTCCAGTTGGCTATTTAGAGGATGGGTTCGTGAAATAGATGTTCTGGGATGGATCCGAAGTGAGAAAATCGATATCTGCCCCTTCTACGACGTAAACAGATGCACTTCGATAGAGGTCGGAAGAATACCATGTAAATAGTCCTGCTCAAGCACCTGAAGATACGATCACTTGTGCTAGGTAACGCACAGAAAGTTATTGATAATTCTTGGTATCGAAATCTATTTCAGTAGCGGACTGAATTTCTCTGGTGTGTGTGGCACCAAGAGTAGGATGGGTTTTACAGTATGATCCGAGCTTTCTTCTGCATGCCGTAAGTATGAATTAGGAGGGAAAGCGACGGGAGTAAATCACCGATGTATAAGCTCATTTTGGTCTATTCCACAATTATGTGGACATCAGATGTAGAGTCGCCTGGCGCATTTCCCCAAGTCCGTGTATTCCAACTGTCGATTCATGACGAGTCCAAGAATAATGGGCTTGGTACCACGTCACTTTGAGGATCTGAAAATTGTGCAACTGCGGCGGGCTGAAAACTGGATGCGGAGGGAACGTTACGGTAGTCAAAGAAGCGGTGATCGATATTCAAAGTAGGATTTCGAAAAGCCATATGGCTCGAAACAATCGCGCTGATTGGCATCATCTTTTTGCTATCGTAGGCAAGAAAAACCAGGAAATATTCACATGTGTCAAAGGCAGCGAAAGAATAATGCAATTCTGATTGGATGTCAGAGTAAACCAAAATTAATGTCGAATTCTATGGGAGTTGAATGAGGCCGGCGTCTAAAGTAAAGTAGGTAGAAGAATCTGTGAATTTAGAACTCAATAGTCTATGTAGTCTGAATGTGACTGTGTAAATATCAATCACATTACACCACAGGTGTGAAGAGGGCACGTGAAGGGTTAGAGATCAACCTTGGAAATAAGCGAGGAGGAAACCCTAGACACGAAAATAAGTAGTCCTCAACTAAATTATCCTTAGCTTGTACAGTTCATGAACGTAATCTTCGGATGACGTACTCATCCTGTATGATCGCGTCATACTTGATACGGAGACCATTTTGTTTATGTGCAAGAAGAAAATATTGGATCTGATAAAAGGATTACCTCGTGGTGCTGCTCATTGGTAAAGAGATGTGGGGGCTTATACGCCAAATGTACTGATTATGTAAAGGCGGGATGGGATGGCTGTGAATATCACGATCCCACCTGGCACTTTTCAATGAAGCTTTTCAGTACGATCTGAGATTTCGAAGGATTAGGGCGCAGGTTGGGTAACACAACACCTGGCTTGATTTGGTAGAAATCAGGTGACTGGCTTCAGTCCGACGGGTCCTCTTATTTTCTTTTCATTTCCCCCATTTCCAAGAGCGTGGAAACCTTTTCAGAACAACTAATGAACATGCTCAATACTGGTATTTATTTTTGGGCCACTGGTCCAGTATCCAGCACAGGTACGATGATACCGAAAAAAGCGTGATTCAACAATTTACAATGCGCTCACGAGCTTCCGCAACCACATCCACTATATGAACTTTCAAGATAGGTCAAAGTCCAAAACTTCAGCTCAATAGTGGCTGAATACACAGGTTGACTATAGTCAGCCTAGAATTACATCATTAGGGTTGCAATGCTAGCACACTGACTATGGACCCGTTACCCAGATCCCTCGTATTCAAAAAAGGCCACTGCGCCATGGCTTTTCTCATTGTTGATTCTCTCACTCTTCTCTTCTTAAAGGCAGAAATAAAGCCACGTGTTCTGAATCAATTTAAGTATAATTATTGAAGAGGAGAAACGTGGCGCTTATTGAGTTGCGTAGTGTTGGTTGCACTTCCTTTTTACGGGAGTTTCCATTTCTTATTGGGATTCACAATGAGCCTGTCCCTGTTGTTGTTCTTTCTTTTTACTGCTTGGACAATTTACGTTGTCAGGTGATACACCTTGACATGTTCCTGTTCAGCCTAGGAGATGGGGTTTAGCATGACCCTTGTCTCTTTCCTAGGGTTTAAGGTCCATTGGAACCGCACACTATAACGGTTATTCTTGGTTAACTACTCAAGTTAACGCCTTTTCCTGTTACCTTGTTACCTACGCAAATCCACTGAAATCTGCACCTTTCAAAAACTTACCATGGCCACAATATACCTTTGGCTGAGTCTGGTCCCGATGATCCTTGCCAATATTGTACTTGGTAATAGTCTCACAAGATTCGTTGGAGCAGGCCATCTCTCAAACACCTTACGCTCCCGTGCTGCACTTCCAGTGATGGAAATACCAGAAGGTAGAGTGGCAAGAACAAATGGCCATACTCTGCATAGTAAACGTCAGAGTTGTGGTCCTGGGATTGGAAGCTGCCCAACAGGCTTCTGTTGCTCCGCTGAAGGGTGAGTTAGCACCCTTTCCCATAGTTCGATGAAGACATCTAAAGTCATTCTGAAAACTGCAGAGCTTGTGGTGAAGGATCCAGCTTTTGTGCAGGTCCGGACTGCCAATTTCTGTACGGTCCAGCATGTGATGCCAATCAGATTCCCTCTGGGAGTTCGACTTCTGGTATTCCACGGACCATTATAGGAAGTATACCATATGGCACGAGAATCAAAAGCTGTAGCAGACCAAATGTCGCTGCACTTACATTTGATGATGGTCCATATATCTATACATCGGCACTTCTCGACCTTCTTGATCAATACAATGCTAAGGCGACATTTTTCATCAGTAAGTCAACAGACCCATTTCATGACAAAGAGTCTAATTACTTCAAGCTGGGAATAATTTGGGAAAAGTTCCCATAGATAATTGCACCACGGGCTACCCAGCCACTATCAAAAGAATGAAAGCCAGTGGCCATCAAATAGCATCTCACACGTAAGTTGAAAGTATTTTCCATCAGTTCTCTAGATCATCCAGTTTTCCTTAACGACTCGACCTTTCTCTATTTTGCCTAAGATCCGCTTGGAACTTTCTTGAGGACAAACAAACTAACAATGTATAAATTAGATGGTCCCATCAGAATCTCAACAGCCTCTCTGCCGCCGACTTCAACAACCAGATGATCTACAATGAAATGGCTCTCCGAAATATTCTTGGAGTCATTCCTACGTATATGAGACCGCCGTATGTTGATTGCAACGATAGCTGCTTTGATAGACTTCGAGAACTCGGATATCACGTAATCTACTATGATCTGGATACCTTCGACTATGCGAACGATTCCCCTGATCTCATCCAGAATTCTAAAAACAACTGGGCAAATTACATCAATCCACACCCCAATAGTGTCCTCGAACTTAGCCATGACATACATTATCAAACGGTTTATAACCTGACTAAGTTCATGCTTGATACCATGGCATTGGGTGGTTATGGAACCTCAGTAACAGTAGGGACTTGCCTCAATGATCCTCCGGAGAATTGGTATAGAGCGGCAGGATCTCCCATCACCTACGGTCCTCCTCCTGCTTTACAAGTAAGCACTGATGGCACATGCGGAAATGGAATTACCTGTCAAGGATCCACTTTCGGAAACTGCTGTAGCAAATATAATCATTGTGGAAGTCTTGATGCTTGGTGTGGTGTCGGCTGTCAAACACAATATGGTAGTTGTGTTTTGTAAGTTCTAACACCGAGGCTCTATTCTTTTGTATTAACTCACAATTTGAGGTCCCACTTTCAGTCTGGCACCATCATTAAGCACTAAATCGACTCCGTTGCCTTTTCTGTCTTCTACAAAAACATCGACAGTGACTAGTCTTCACTCATCACCTTCCCTTATGTCTCCAACCCGTTCTTCAACTACTTACTCATCAGTTCCGTCTATCAATTTGATGGTGAGTACTGACGGTAAGTGCGGAGGAGATAAAACATGCAAAGGATCAAAATACGGAGACTGTTGCTCGCGATACAACTTTTGCGGCAGCACATTTGATCATTGTGGCTCTTTCTGCCAACCTAGTTTCGGTACATGCAACCCGTAAGGTTTCCCGAATATGCTCTTATGGCTCACTTCCGTCTTGCTAGTTAATGTAGTCCCGGTCCATCCGGCACAGCTCGAGTGAGTACTGACGGTTCTTCTGGAAGAGATGGCATTACTTGCATAGGGTCAACATTTGGGAGCTGTTGCAGCTCTTATGAATTTTGTGGTTCTACTGTCGCGTATTGTGGTTCTGGTTGTCAAATTTCTTGTGGTACATGTAATTGAAGAAATGTAGGAATTTATCATGATCTCTTTTCGCAACACTGTTTTCGTAAACCATAATTACTATAAGACTGAGCTTTCACTATTCCCGAAGTGTTTCAATATGCGATGTTATCATGCTATAAATCTAACACTAAACTGTTTTTACTATTCACAAAAAGAAATCGCTGTCTAATTCGTTTCAGCAGTACCTCTGATCAAGATTACCATTATGTTAAGACATTACTATCTAACCCTTACCCGCCATTACTCCATCAATATAGTCCCACAGCAGCAAGCCCAGCCGCCCCAATCATCATACCAAACTTCGAATCTCGAATGAACGCGGTTGGTTCTGCGAGGCTTATACTCGAAACAGTACTACTTGGACCGCTGCTTGGTATTTTCGTAGGGCTTACATTTGCCTTGATCATGTTAGCCGAAATATTCAGCAATGTATGAATTATTCTCTTACCAATACCCTTGAAACAGGAGCACCCACGGGAGCGCCAGTAGCACTGCGATACCAATTCTCTTCCGGGTCTCCTAGACACTCGCCAACCGTAATCGAAGTTCCAAAACCAAGTGTTTTCATTCGCTCAAGTGTGAAACGAGTCAGATTATGAGCTGTTTGTTCATGGATATCGTGGGCTATTTCTATAAAATTGGCGGGGTAGCCGGCAGTAGCGTTTGTTGTTGCGAATTGCTTGTTGATTTCGTCTTTCGAGAGTTGAATTGTTTCTGGTTTGTCGTTGTCATAATCTTCCTTCTAATTAGCCTGCATCCGAATTGCAGAAGACATGGCCTACCATTAGAATTAATATTGTACAAAATACTATGATAGCCCATGTCGAAAAGCATTTTTTGAGTTTCGTTATTGACTTCGCTGTATGGTGGGCGCATGTATGTAGGAAAGAAGCCCAGAATATTTCGAAATGCCATCTCATTGTAGTACATCTGATTTTCTCTCTGGATCTGAGTAATGGCGCTGAGGTTTTGATGCGTCCATGTGTGGCTCGCTTCATGACTTAGCGGTGTTCTAAATGTTACCAGAAATAGCATACCTATTTGATGACCTTCTCTGTACATGCGTTGAATTATTTGTGGGTATCCGGTGGACTCATTGTCCATAGCACCTTTCCCAATATTATTCCCGGTGATAAAGAACGTGGATTTGGCATTGTATTCTGCAAGAATGTCGAGTATTGTAGTTGTGTAGATATATGGCCCATCATCTACAGAAGAATCTCTAGGTTAGTAATATTTGCGATAGAATTCAGAGAGCTTTGAAAATTACTTCTTGAGGAAGGTCATATTCTGCAACTTCAAGCCTGACTGTGTGGGAACCAAATCGCAAGAATCCCACGTACCAAAAGTCAAAGCAACAACATTCTTCTTTGTACATTTGTAAATTCCACCGCCGCCGTATGTCAGATTCCCCAACTTCGGACGCGGAATATCTTTTGTGTGTGTACCATTAGGGGCTTTATTGCCATCGCATTCATCGCCGTAAGAGAGTTGGCAGGCAGGTCCAGAACAATAGTGAAAGTCTTTCCCACTTCAAATTAAGTTAGTCTTTGGTATATTGGATGAAATTGAAGTACCTACCAGAAACCTCCACTAGAGCAGCAGTACCCTGCGGGGCAAGTTCCATTGATATCTCCACACCTTAACTTCGGGTGACTTGTAGCCCTTGTATTTGAAAATAATCCACTAATGAAATCTTTTGTCTCAGAAATTTCGCTAAACTGCCTTCGAGGGTAATGATACGGTGGGAATCTTGGTAAGATTGCATCAAGAACTTCTGTAGACCTTCCGAAAACTCCGATTCCTCCATGATGACCAGTAACTATTTCAATAAGGTAAATCAGCGAAAGTGTAAAACTAATTAAATTGGCCATAATGACGATTGATGATCTTCTGAATGACCTCAGTCTGAAATTCCTTTGCTCAAAAATTACAATAAGAGAGACGTGACTGTTCCCCGAACACAACCTCCCTCAAACATCACCCTTAGGCTTCAAGCCATCCGATATCAGAACTTTCATCACCTGAGACAAATACAACTCAATGGGAGACTTTCAATCCACGCCACTTGGACGAACAATATCGAAGGGAATTGTCGAAAGGAAAAAAGAAATAACAATTGGAAGTTTACGGGATCAAAGTGACTTCTAGAACGGCCAGTAAAGAGAGACAACAGGAGCGGCGAGCGGCAGCGCCTGTGTTGCCAAGACGACCCGAGTGAGCTGAGAATTGCAGGAAATATACTGTCATTTTCTTGGCTACATGACTGCCCATGCCCCGTTGACGAGAAGGCAAATTCACAAAACAACGAGTGAGATGAAACTTGAAGAGAACGTGAGGTACCCCGACGAAAATGACCTGAGAACCTACAATTTCGTGGTGTTATCACGACATGTTGATGCGTTTTCCCTGCATCATCAGTATGCGGGCCAAGATAATTCTCTTTCCTCTCGGGGGGATACGAGGCCCAAAGGAAGACGAAATCACAATGAGAGAGTGGCAAGGCGTGGTACCATGTCCTCTATTCTGCACCACGAGCGGATATGTCTCGTTGTACACTACTCGGGATGGTGAATACAGGGGTATATGCGGGATACCGTCCAATCGCCATATTCGCTTACTGGGGAAAGGGAAAAGGGGGTCGCTCGGCAGGCACAACTGTGGCAATAATGAATTGTTCTATCCGTTTTTTTTTGTCCATTATTTGGGTAAACATTGAATACTACAGCCAATTATCCTTTCTCGATGGAAACTATTTCACGAACCTTCGATAAACAAACATTCTTACCAACATCCTTCCCTAAACCAGCCAATTGAAATTATTGTGCCTCCAAATCACGAAGTGGTATGTTTCCTGCCGTTTTCTTTTCCGCGACTCCCGGTTCTTCTTTCTCGTTGCCTTCTACTGGCTCCACCACTTTTCGTGTCTTGCCCCATGCGAAATTATCAATCGACCACAACGCGTAGACAAGGACAATAACATTTAAAAAAGGACCGATGAAAAAGTACATGAATAGTCCGAGCAGATATTGGATTCTTTCTTTTGCGCTTCGTGGCTGCCATGCTACAATCAGAACGTAATAAATGAGAGGCAGGAGCATAACAGACACGAAAGCCAAGATTAAAGAATAATGAACAACTAACATTAGTCAGCACATTGACAGCATGAAATAGGAACATTGGAAGGCTTACATGTACATGCTTTTATGAAACTTGCAATACATGCAATAATGAACAAGTTGAGTACCCAGGTAATCACGTTGGCGATGGCAAGAATTCGCTCGAATAATATGACTCCAGGAGCAAACACAAGGAATAGATCGTTGCATGTAGCACCCAACGTCCAACGTCTACGTTGAGAAAGAAATACCGACCATGAGTGTGGAACGTCGGTGTAAGCACGAGCATTGATGGCTTGTCGTGTTCGTGCTTTCGGGAACGTTGACAACATCAGGCAGACATCTAGAATAAGGAGGTCAGCACTACGAACACATGATTTCTTGGCCGAGAACTTACGATTTCGGTCTTCACTTGCTGTAGCTCGGATTTGCTTGAGCAAATTATCAGTTACTCGAGGATGATACCCGAATCTCTCGAGAAGAACGCGATCTCCACAAGTGGTCTCGCACACTTTTAGTAATTGGCAACAACCGGGGAGACAAGAAACTTTGTGTGTAGCGATGGATTGATGTAGTCTTCGAAGACATTGGCTAATTGTATATTCGGTATTTTGGTAAAGTCGCCATGGGCTCCAATCCTGTCCTTGAAAGTCGACTGCAACATAGCCGCATACCCCGACTGTGTGTTTGTAATGAGATTGTTTGATCAGTTCCGAGATACATGCTGGTTCAAAAAATGTGTCTGCATCCATCCCAATGAGAATATCGACTCTCGAAAACCCAGCTTGGAGGAGAAATGCAACCATGAGATCAAAAAAGAATGAAGATAGAATGACCGCTGGTTTCGACTGCCTGATGTTGAAATTGTAAAGAAATGATCGAATTAGAATAAGTCCGTCTCTTTTGCCTCTGTTCGATTGCTTGACGATGCAGATATATGGAATCTCAGAGTAGCTTCCCTTCTGAACCACGATATCCATCTCACTGTGGTCCCAAGAAGTATATGCTCCCACAATATACTCTCTTGAAACAGAGTCAGTCAAGATGTCTTCTAGCAGATAATCCGCTGTGGTTTTTTCCATGCCTGGTCCACGGACTTTGCCATCGCAGATAATCATGATTGCTTTCTTGTGATCGGCAATTTCAGTTTGAGCGGCAAGAGAATCGAGGGATTTGACAAGCTCTTCACGTGTTTCGTTGTAGCATGGCAAAAGTAAAACCATGCTCTCAGGTTCCGCTGGCATCTCAAGTTTCTCTGGGACGAATCTTCGAAGTATAACATGAAACATTATCGAAAACACCATGATGCAATTAAGAGCCACCGTGATGGTTATTAGGGGCAAAAAGATGTAATAATATTTTGGCCACCACCAAGTTGCGAAAATGAAAAGTGTGCTTAAGAATAATCATGTGTTAGTAGGGGTTGATAGTACTCATACTCGATATGGGAAACTTACTTCATTCCAATTAGCGTAGCTATGAAAAGCCATTTTGTGGTAATAATCCACCGATGTCCTGCTTTAACCTTTTCGGGTGTTCTGTCCAATGGCTCAGGAATTTGTCTTCTTTCAGAAAGTCCCGAGGAAGTAGATTCATCAGCCGAAGAAGTGCCTCCGCCAAAGGATGATCGGTGATACTCACCATGGCCCATCTGTGGAATGGGCGAAATATGATCAATAGTATCATTTTCGTTATGCGCAGTGTATTGGGAATGCTGTTGCCGATGAAGGTTGGAGCCTTGAGAATGGATTGGAAGTCGAGCCTGTGGAGGTCGAGTCCCATCCGTTCCGCCATCCACAAGTTGGTTGAGTTTTGCGACCGGTCTTTGTATCGAACCCACTAATAACTTTTCTCTGGCGGTTTCGCTTTCCGGGTGTATTGAACAGTTTCCTGGTGGCTCGGGTCTTTCAGATCCACCTAGGTCCATGAGCGGATCCTGAGCCATTGATGAAACGGGGATTGATAAACGATTGAAACCCCAATAAGTTTTGAGAGAACGTCGGTGAAAAAAGCGAGAGACTGGAAAGAATGATTTTCTGGGGTAAAATCTGGAAATGATTCTCTATATCAACAAGGCAGACTCTCAATGCATTTTTCGCCACTTGGTTTTCTAAAGTCATCCAGCAGCTGAATCTGCGAGGTGATTTGGTCAAAGATCTTCCATATCCAAATGCAATATTATAACCGCTGAAAGTTTCTTGGCTATAAATACCAAAATAATAGGATGAATTTTGCTTTCTACAAGGGACAAGTGTTTCGCTTAACCGGCTGTCCCGTCATTTTGGGAGATATGTGCATATGCTGTATAAATTTGCAGCATTAACTAGCATTCAGCGGGGATGCAACGGGAAGTCTGAGCTGAGACAAATGTACTAGACCGCGCGAGTTTAAGAAAGTCGGAAGAAATTGATATCGCCAACACAGCAAACAAGAAAATTGAAATTGGGGGGGCAAGCTAAGGGATTCCGAAGGACATGAGGAAGAAATCAGGGATACTTTTTGGCAGTTGATCCAAAATAATCAGATTCATTATTTCCTCATGTGGCATATCGACAGATCTGTGGATCCGCAAAGTAAGCATCACTATGCAGTTAATCGGGAGACCACTCGAAGAATCTTTCGGATGAAATTGCTTCCAAGGCATGTTGAGGATATGCGGGCAGAAACACATGCTTTGGGTACCCTGCCTAGCTGGAAACATGTTTTAGAGATGCAGATACTCGCTCATATCGGAACGTCTGAACTTCTCTACTCGCTCCACTGCAGAATCAACATCGGACCAAACCCAGCTGCTCGGGTTCGGTCTGATATTGACGCCAGGACAATTGCAGATGGTTTTCTCGAGTTGCAAGAAGAATTTTTCCGCATAACCGACAGCTCAGTTACCCTTGGGTACTGGTGTTGAGGAAAATGGCGCGGCAGTCATGATTGGGGGTCCTCCCACGTTTTTGGCGGATCTAAATAGAACGTCCTCTCCATTCATATCCACTCATTTTATATGTCGATGAGGGGTACGCATCAAAGGAGTATTTCTGACACATTCAAACAAACTGCCTTGTTTATTTCTTGCTACCACACACGGATCCCACTCAATTGAAACCATTTGGAAGTCGGAAATCGTGCTTCGGGGACCTGTCACTTAGGGGGGACCGCTTGGCTTGGCGGAAGGCTTTTCGGAAGCGAGCGGTGCCTTGTGCCTGTTGATCTGTGCCTTTGCCCTGCCTGTTGATTGGAACTCGTAGGAATTGGATACCTTCAAGCCCCGGTTTCTTTGCTGTTTTCTTTCTCCGTATATACTGGTTCCTTGCAAGCCACAATTCTTGGCAAGCACGTTTGACGTGATCGTGTAACGTACAAACAGGTGACGTGCTTTACTCCGTCGCACTGTTGGTATAACAATTGTTGAAACCAGGATGTGAAGATAATCGTGGTGACCGCCAATAATTACCGAGAAGGGATACTACTTAGCAAATCTGTCCTCACTTAACCTCGTAAGGATAATTGCTAAATGATTGAAATATTTCTAACACAAAGATTGGTTCCTGAGCGCTTTTCGCTAAAGTCGAGCTGCGAAAATCACAATATTTGAAGGTGTCGTTGTCATCTCGCTTCTGTTTTGACTAGCTACAAGGTAAGGAAGCATACTATAAGGAAAGCTACCCGAAACTTATTGGTACTGCATACAATGAACTCCCATCCGTAGCCAATTCAATCTATTGTATGACGGAAAAATTAGAGACGACGATTTTGCTTAAACCAAGTTTTTGTGCATAGATTGAGGAATCTTCGAAAACCCCCGACCTCTTCGCCGCGATCCTTTTGTTGTATTCCCACAGATGCACTTTTGATTTACGACGCTTCTCAATAGAGTATAAATTAAGCTTGGTTTTCAGCCTCCAGTAGTGTCGGCGTTGTAATTGCCAAAATAGATTGAGAATTCTCCTTTTCAGTTCATTCCCATACTCTAGTCCTTCCCGAAATTAGTAAGTATCGTTATTTCTGTAGCCCTGCTAGTCCCTGCTATTAGCTCGGAGTTACCCCCATGTGGCGTAATTTTAGACAAAAGTGTCGAGTGAGGGGCATATTGCTCATGCTGCCAAGTGAGTTACATTCAGGGATATTTGTGAAAGTACTTGGAATTTTGATTCACAGTAGTGATGCACATGGTTTTTACTCTTACTATTTACCTGCGGCAGCCAAGAAGTCTGTTCGAACTGCTGAGCCCTGAAGCCATGATTCCTAGCCAACAGCTCCTTCAAGTCATGTGTAATGGATTTAGCGATTTCAGCATGGTCGTTCATATCCTGCTCAATCTCAAATCAGAAAAAGCTCAAGGGGCCGTTCATGCCGTATGGATGTTTTGATCTTCCTTGTTTGACTTTTCATTATAAAAACGGCTGGCCCTTCTCAGGAAATCTCCCTGGATACTTCAGTCCATCCTTCCACTACATCTTTACGGCCTAACTTTCAAAGACCCGTAAAGTGTTCTTTCGATTCTTCAAGTGTTGCCTAGCATGGAGTTCGCAACGCCCCTGTCAACCGAAATTTGTCACCCATGGACCCTAGAAGCCCGCTTGGAAGATAAAGACCAAATTGAGCTTTCTTGGTCTTCCTCGAATCCTTCAACAGCACCCTCGGATGTTGATTCTGCAGAAAGCTACTCGACGTACCAAGAATCTCAACCCTCCGAAATCCCACTTACCCCGCTTGAGTGCAACGATGAATACTTCTCTCATGTAAGAGAGGACGAGCCACCAGTTGTCGCCATCATGGGAATTGGTTATGTGGGACTTCGTGGGCACAAATGAGATTCCGAATTTTGCATTTTATGAAACTGATTTTACTGTTACAGATCTTGTTAAAGCATTCTCAGTTCACTATAAAGTCATCGCTTTTGACGTCAGTGACAAGCGACTAGCAGCTATTGCTGATGAAAATTCACTTGGCTCAAACACATCCTTGACTTCTGACACTTTCCAACTCACTACTGCCACTCATTTTTGTTAGTGATTGGTCTTTTATCCTATTTACTTACTTTAAATATGGCACCAAAAGTTGAAAGCATATACACAATCTAACGCACTGCCTTTGGTTATTCTTCTCTGACTAGATTCTCTCGCTAACCACGAAAACAACTAGTGGTCGCCGTCCCCACTCCACTCATTGCCAATACCGCACAAATTGATACATCCATCATCCAAAATTCCCTCAAGACAATTTCAGATCACGTTCGTCCAGGCGCAACAATCGTGGTAGAGAGTTCCGTTTCGGTCGGAATGACCAGAAGCCTTCTGGGTAAAATGGTGGAAACACATAACCTCCACGCAGGCATGAGTCCTGAGGTAAGTTTCTTATCTTCCATATGAAAAAGAAACCAACAGTCTGCAGCGAGTCGACCCCGGAAGAACAGACCCATCATACGAGAGCATCCCCAAAATCATCTCAGGACTGAATCAAGCATCTCTGGAATCGATCACGAAGCTATACTCCCCTGTGTTCCAAAGTCTTGTTCCGGTTTCCAGCCCAGAAGTAGCGGAAATGACCAAGCTATACGAGAATTGCCAGCGAATGATGTGTATCGCTTATGCCAACGAAATGGCAGATGCTTGCCATGCATTGCCGAGTCCCATTGACCCCTTCGAAGTCTCGCGCGCAGCTGCAACAAAACCATTTGGATATCTGCCTTTCAACCCATCTGCAGGAGTTGGTGGTCACTGTATTCCAGTGAACCCCAGCTATCTCTTCAGTGCTGGAGACTACCCTCTTTTGAAACATGCTACTGAAAAAATGAAAATGAGGCCAGCAATGTTGGCAGATCGCACCATGAAAGCATTGACAACGAGAAATAAGAGCGCAACACCAAAGAATGGAGAGCAAAAGTTTCAAGTTCTTGTAGTTGGCGTTGCGTTCAAACCAGGACAAGAACTCACGACAAACTCTCCAGGGCTTGGAATCATCAATCACTTACTCGACATTTGGGATGCACACGTTGTCTACGCCGACCCTCTCGTAAAAGAACCTTCATTAAATTATGTGCCTCGACTGGATGAAAGGCGGGAATGGAACAAGGAAAGACTTGAACAATTTGACGTCATTATCGTTGTGATGAAGCAAAAGGGACTGGATTTTGGGGTTTTGGAGGGGCTGGAAGGGGTTCTTCTGGAGCAGCACTGTAACTAGAGCATCACGGATAATCTTTTTCTGGGGTTTAAGAATTGACAAATCAAAGAATGGAGAAGATGGAGGAGTTTACGAGCAAAAAGCCGGGAAAGAAATCAGATTCATATCTCTTTCACCTCGTTTAACTCATGCGGACCGTATAGTGCAAAGCTCTATTCGACTGTACCAAAAACTATCACCAGAATAGAGTATCAATAAAAGCAGTATTTAGATTGCTGTTGCGGAACATAAGGTTAATAAACTCGACATCTTACCAGAACAAGGGAATCTCGGGCTATAATAAACTCACAGCCTCTCTCTAAGCTATCAGAATAGTAAAAGCTCCTCACTCTATACCCTCAAGTCCTTATTTCATATAAAAACCTACCTACTATCCCTTTTCTACATAAGGATGTATACGGCTAACTGCGTCTCTGGTCTCTATAGCCAGCCATTACCCGAGACCGACCTCTATTACACCCGAATTTTCGCTGTCTTTCATGGCATGGAATACCGTATTTATTAGTTTACAAGATAACATATTACATATAAAAAGTCTGTCTAGGGACCAATATGAACCTTATACGCTAAAAAAAGTAATATCTTAATTATTAATTTTGCCCTACTTTTTGTGGGTTATGTTCCCCGCCACTCCTAGCCTTTATGTTTTACCTCTAACCTTATCTAATCTTCTAATAATTTAAGCCTATTCTATAATCATGATTTAAATATATTCTTATAAGAAGAATAAGACGTGGAATGGGTCCTGAAATCGTTCTAAGAAGTGGCTATAAAAGGTTAGTTATAGATTAAACGAGTAATAGGGGGGGGGGGNGGGGTTAAATAGTAATAGCTTTAAAAAATATATACCACCTTTTTATATACCGATTTTCAAATATACTTTTACAAGTTCACCTCTGAAATCCCTTGTCTTTTAGAGTATGTAGTAGTGCTAAAATGAGTGTAGAAAGATTAATATAAAAGTATCGATTTTAGATTCTATCTCTCTAACTGGTCAGAATCATAAGATACTAATCCTACGAACTTTTAGAACCATATACAATATACGCATATTATCTTAACAAGGAATGTTATTTTGTAATCCAATTAATACGGTAACTTATATCAAATCAAATTATCACAAGATCGTGTAAAATGTTATATGACCGAGATCCGACCGGCCGATCCGATCCGATTCTCGGTGCCAAAGTCAGGCTCATCTGCAAATTTCAGAATGGGGGGGGATCAAATTCTCGAGATTTATGACCGAATCCGAACCCGACTCCGTCCTCCGTCCTTGAATCCGAACTACTATATGCTCGTTCGAGATTCCGCATTTCTTTTTCATGATAGTATAAATGCGTCTTTCGATCTTGTCATTCTTTCAGAGTCCGAATTTTCCTTCGAAATTTCCTTGCCTTGCTAATTTGACGCATTCGACCAAAGTTAGGAAATCAACATAGATCCTGTATTCAAACATCAGTATAACTTCCCCTTTTCCCCAAACGATTAACCATGCACGACACTAAAGAAGCAAAGACATCTCACAGCACCATACCGCCCATCGACGATGGCAAAGACAATAATAGTATCCGACCCTTACAGACCCCAATTCACGACCACCAACACACGACCACCAACACACGACCGCAGCCGAAAAAGAAGAGCAGAAATACATCTCCGGACCGAAACTCTGGCTCATCACAGCAGCAGTGACTCTCGTGATGTTCCTGACATTGCTCGACACTACCATCATCGTAACGGTATAGTGGCGGTGTCTAACGAGGATTTGGGTGTGGTTGCTGATAGGGTGGATAGGCAATTCCTCGAATTACGACGGATTTCGGGTCTTTGGCGGATGTGGGGTGGTATGGGAGTGCGTATCTTATCGCGAGGTGGGATATCCCTTTTCCTTTCCAAATTTATTTTGAAGATCTTATGTTGATGTTTTTGATGTTGTTAGTTGTGCTCTGCAGCCATTGACTGGGAAGATATACAGCCAATTTAGCTTAAAGGTAAGTCTTATACATACACACGCCACTTATTCCAAGGGAGAATGGAAATATGCTGATTTTCTCAAGTATAACTTTCTTGCCTTTCTCTTCCTTTTCGAAATTGGTTCTGCTGTCTGCGGCGCCGCGCTCTCGTCGAAGATGTTGGTCATTGGACGCGCAGTTGCGGGACTGGGTGGCTCGGGATTGAGGAATGGGGCACTGAGTATTATCACCGAGTGTGTTCCTTTGTCAAAGCGACCACGTAAGTGTTTTTTGTGTTCTTGTGGGAGGTTAGCCGGAGGAGAGCTAATGTGAATCAGCATACTTTGGAGTCATGATGGATCGTAAGTACAAGTACAGCTCTACATAAGCCCTTTCGTTTTTCTAATGACAATGACATTTAGTTTCTCTATGTGGTGCGGCGGTAGGACCCTTACTAGGAGGTGTGTTTACCAAATATAATAGCTGGCGATGGTGTAAGTTGAAAGTCATGCTCCCTTTGACCGATTCTGACCTTCCCAGGTTTCTACATCAATCTACCCATCGGTGCCGCAGCCGCCACCCTACTTTTAGCAATCCGAATACCCGACGCCAAAGCGAAGAAACCCATGAGCGTTATATCCGCGCTATCTACCCTTGACCTCGTCGGCTTCTTCCTCTTCGCACCTTGTGCCATTATGTTCCTCATGGCTCTCGAATGTGGAGGATCAAAGTACGCCTGGAGCAGTGGCACCATTATCGGTCTCTTCTGCGGCGTAGGGAGTATATTCCTCGTCTTTCTCGGCTGGGAACACCGTCTCGGCGACGAGGCGATGATTCCCTTTAGTATGGTGCGAAGACGAGCCGTCTGGTCCTCCTGTCTAGTCATCTGGTTCTTCTTCGGAGGGATGATGGTATACTCGTACTACCTCCCCATCTACTTCCAGGCCGTGAAGGGGACATCGCCACTAGCGAGTGGTGTAGATATCCTCCCTTTGATTCTCAGCCAGATGGTTGCAGCGGTTCTTTCCGGTGGCTTGGGTGTGTATCTTACCCTCTAGTCGTGAAGCATAGCTGATACTGTATGACTTCTAGTTAAGAAAATAGGATACTATCTCCCTTTCAGCATTGCAAGTAGTATCCTGATGGCGATATTCGCTGGATTGATCACCACGTTCTCGGTAGATACCTCGACCGGGCAATGGATCGGATATCAAATCATTGGAGGCTTCGGCCAAGGCCTCGCAATGCAAATGGCAAGCTACCCTCAAGAATCTCCAAACATCTGTTTAGAAGTAAGAAAACTAACTCCTATTCCAGCCCTACATCGCCATCCAACACTCCATCCCACAGGAACACAACGCCGTCGCCCTCGCACTCATCGTCTTCATGCAGAATCTAGGCGGTGCGGTATTCCTCGCTCTGGCGCAGACAATCTTTACTACGGACTTACGCAGTGGATTGGCGAGGTTTGCGCCGACGGTTGATGTCGGAATGGTGGAGGCTGCTGGTGCTACGGGGTTCCGAGCTTTGGTTGATTCGGTGGAGGTTGTTGGGGTGCTCGAGGCGTATAATTTGGCTGTGACGAGGAACTTCTTTCTGGCTGTTGTTTGTGCGGGGGTGATACTTTTTTGTTGTTGGGGAATGGGGTGGGTGAGGATTGAGAAGAGTGAGGAGTCTGATGCTGGGGAGATAACTAGGAAGTAAGGCTTGGATGCTGCTGATTGCTTTATGTATTATTATTCTCTTTTGTCTAGTTATACATCCTCCAGTAGGAACTAGCGCACTGCATATTATGTATACTACCTCGCATTCATAGGCTGCATTAAAAGAACTCCACCTTTTAGTATCATGTCGAAACATTCAAATAACTTGTGCTAGACTTTCAATATAATAACTCTTGATAATATCTATAGAGTAATAACCAGGCCTTTTGAACAAAACCCTGTTTCAGATTCTCAGAGCTCAGAATAACCGAGAATTTTTCTGCAGGAGATTTGCACAATCTCAGTATTAGAGTCTCTATCGAGGCGAGAGGATTATACTAGATTGGGTTTTGCAGCGGTACTAGGAATCGAGCTTGAGATTGTGATTTGTAAGGTGTCTGTAACGTCAAGTATAAACCGAGAAATCACACGAGAACCAAGATCTAATGGTAATTGGTCTTGAGGTTTAGAAAGACTTGCGATACCGACCATCTTACAACATCTGGGCGCTCCTTGCTTAGTCCTTCCATTTGAGCCAAAGGAATCAGAAAGTCACGTGTACAACATCCGAAACATTCATCACGTGCAAACCCACAAACACGCCAAGCCCGCCAGCACTAGCGCATCCTCCCCTCCTCTCCCAGGGGTATAAATACTCCCCTTCCCACCCGCCTCTTCGACTTTCTTTCCTTTCCTCTTCATACTTACCTTCTTGACGGGTATCCATGCTCAAGGATATGGACTCGGCAGAACGAGATCTCCATTGCACATCGGGGTATCGAGATCTGTTCAGTATCCTTCGGGGTCCTGATCGGGGGAATTTTTGATTGCTTCCAACGGCTCGTCCGTCTTTTCGTTGTATTCATTGCTTCAAGCAGTGATATGAGGAAGAATGTTTTGGGTGTGGCGTTGGTGGTGGTGTGAATTGCATCTTGATTAATTCAATGGGGACTGCGCGCGAGAGGGGGCGGGTTTGAAGCTCAAGTCGTTACCGCTCTCCGTGAACGAAGATATCGCAACCGTCTCAACCATCGCGAACGGCCTCAGCCCGTCGTACTCGATGACCGACCATCGTCTCTTTCGACAGAACCTTCCTGTTCTGATCTTCTCTGTGCTGCAGCTGCACACTCTGACATCGTCGCTCCTCCCTTTCCAACCTCGTCTCACAATTAATGTTGACCGCATGACGGAGACCTTCGCCCGCGCCAGGACACGAAGACCTGAGGTTACTAAGTAGGAAGGCACGACTCCTAACTCCACGGAGTATCACTGTCCCTTCTCCCTCCACGCTCCTGCCGTCACATATATGACTCTGAATCATCGAAAATGAATTGCGAGGGGTAAGAAACCGGCACCCACACCCTCACGACGCTCAAACCGCTGCGTGGGCGATCGTCTGTCTACAGTTATCTACGCGTGATAATTATCAAGACTTCTTACTTCGTGGAATCAAATTCCTTTTGAATTGTTCTCCGCCATTCGCATGTCCTCGTCTTCTGGCACTGCGAACTTAATGGCGCGATGAAGGTTGGAAAAGTGAATGCATATCAACTCATCGTTACTATCGCTGAGGATGGGTAAGACTACGTTTAGACGTATCTGTCACTAGGAGCGGTAAGTCTCATCTCATGGTAACCACCAGAACTCTTGGGATTCCGGTCTTACTGGGCATTCGAAGAAGGCGGGAGAGGCGATGGGCAGAGTCTTGAATACTCGTATTTGCGATTCCTTGGGCCTTCTAACGATCCTATAATGGTGGCAATGGCCCTGAGTTCTACTAATAAGAGATGAGTCTTTGGGCAAACTTGTCTTGTACTTATACCTCTGTTAAATCCCAAACGAGGTATCTTCACGTTGGTACTTGTACTACCATTCCTGCTAGAACATTTAGTACAGACTGGAAATGCTAGATAACAATTCATTCGTGATTAAAACAACGTCCATAACCTATGGAATGGCGCTACATGTCACGAATCACGTGTTGGCATGTGATAAGTAAAGACCAGGCGGCGTCCTGACAGGCTAAGCACCATCAACACACTCTTATAGCAAATAGGGATGCTTAGGCTAGCTAAGCGATCCAGGGATTTCATCTGATAGAAGTCATGTGACCGTCATTGATCATTGGTGATCAACTGAGCAACGCTGAGCTGGATCAGTGGGATCAGGGCGATCATAATGATCAACGAGCAAGAAGGTTCTATATAAGACTGGCACGTCTGCCATTAGATAGGAGCTTCGTGCTCAACTTAGTTATCAATCTTATCATATTAGTTTGACATCTTTGATACAAGTAACGAGTTCACTTCCAAGTGAACAACCCGATAGTCTTCTTCTTATCATAGCATACCAACCAGCGAACACCCAGCCAAGTTTAGTTAGCCAGTTTGAGTATTCGTTACAGTATAGCTTTATGATTACCTAATTAGGTAATTAATCCCCCTTCGTTTCGTACTTACGCAAGCCGAGACGAGTAAATCCTAGTATAATTAATGGCTTAGTAGTACTAAGGTATTTATTAGAATTAACCTAAAATTATATTTATGTTAGAACAATTCTACGCGAGGGTACTTAATCCTGGTCAAGAGTAACGCCGGGCGGTATAATACATTTCAAGTATCGAGGATCTTCCGTAAGAATATGTTTTATATAAAAGAGTTCCGGGATCCCGAAAAAACCTAGGGATAACCTTTGAAGCGAGTATTCTTATATCGAGGTATGGCCTGTGTTCACTGATTATATCGAATGGAAGGGGTCTCTTAACGGCCCTTTCGGGGTTTCCAGATAGTCGATAGACTTTATATTAGAATGCGAAACCTAAACGAGTACGATACACCCCTCTAACAAAACTAATATATTTAGCTAATAACGTTCATGTAGTTGTCTGAGAAAAAACTAAATATTTATTAATAAAAGTTAACTATAAACTAGAAAGAAATCCTAATTCCGCCGTCCAGGTCTGTTATACTGGCCGGTAACGAAGGTATAAAGTATCTCGATGTCCTTCCTGACTCCCTTACTACCTTACTACTCAAACTTAACAGATATTAACTTAACACTCCAATCCCCCCTCAACTTCAAAATTCAAAACAACCCCACTCTTAAAAATGAATTTCTCCAGCAGCCTCCTCGTCTTCTCATCCCTCGTCGCCTTCAGCACAGCTTATAAGATAATCCAAACCGGGCAAGCACTTTGCACCCCCATGTGACGACACGCACAGCTGATGGGCCGCGCAAGAGCACGACTACGTCAGGTATCACGAGTGGTGAATTGACACTGTGGAACTGTCTATTCGAGGATTCTAAGCTAAGGAGAGAAGAGAAGAGAGCAGAGCTCGGGAGCCAGAGGTTCTTATATACAGGAGGTAGTGCCAAGCTATAGCTAACTGAGCCGGGCTCAGGAAGCACGGTATCCGCTGGGTTCCAGCCAGGGGCTGGTCTGAGGTGTAGTGGCGGTTAGAACCGTCACACCCCATCGCGGAGGTCGGAAGCAGATGCAAAGCGGAATGTGGTAGCGTAAGTCACTTCTCCTTCTCTCTCTGTGCCTGCTTACTAACATTATCCCCAAAGGCCTGGTCATCATGCTATGTTCCATCGGGCCAATACACTGCAGTCCTCCAATGCAACGGCTGTCCCTAGTATCAGTATCCGAAATGGTATCCTCGAATTCAAAGGGATGAGTGTATGTTGAGCCGGTATTTTATTTGTGCCGGAGGTTCCGGAGGTGTGCCCTACGTTCTGAAAACTACTGTAGGATGTTTTCCTGGCTTGTTTGGCAGGGAGTGTATATCTATCCAGGGTCTACCTTACAGATTAGAGTTCGACATTCTATACGAATGCTAACTCGTACATTGAATGTAAAATAAATACCACTCCGAATAGTGATCTAGCTTCTTGAGAAAAACACTATAGAAAATTCAAGGGATAGAAAATCTGTGGTTTTTTATTATTCGTAATTATAACTCGCTTATTCTACTCATTAACAGTAAGTTATTGTAAAGACTACCACTTTATCTCCCTGACGTCATATATATATATATCTCTCTTAGTTATCTTTTCAAGTTCAAAGACAAGGACTAGCTTCTGAAGATTTTGTTGCGTCCGAGTAGTCAAACCGGTTAGAAAAATATATCCTTTATCCCGTAATAAACATAAGACGAAGCTAAGATGGGGGGTCTGAAAATTAATATACATTAATTATTAGTTATAGATCATTAATCGTTGATTATTAGTTGTAGACTAGTAGCCCTATCCGATTAAGTCCGCTCCGCACCTCTGGCTTCTAGCTTCTAAATCCTACTAACTGAAGTCAGTCACCAAGAATATCTCGAATTCATGGAAAGATGTTTACATGCATTTTCTTTCAACTGCCACCCATTGACTTCATATATATGTTGATCCAGATCCAGTTCAGGAAGTCCACCTAAAATTATTATGCAACTGAAAATGTAGTGAGACTTTCCGTGGTTCCTTTCAGAGAAGGGATCAGATCCCCTCTTATTTTGCGTATCTTTTCGACTCATCTTGGGATCTTGTTGTGACTCACATTGACTCCTCACTCGCCTTATTCACCTCCTCGTCTGTTGCCAGATATCCTCCATAAGAGTCAACCTTCTCAAACGTTCCATCAACATTTGGCAAGCTTTTATAACCCCGAACCTCTTCAGATAATATACCTCCAAGTCATTCAGAAACTCCCAGCTATGAATAGAGGTACCGAATGCCCCATTCCTCATCGTCAGCTGAGAAGAAACCGCATGTCTATAACTTTTCCGATCACGGAGACAGATTGCACCAAAGCAAGGTTCCAAAGCTGGAATAACTTTCCATCCTTCCCCTTCTTTACTCCCCCTCTATCAACCGCAACCTCCTTCACAACCAAACACGGTCCTCCAAATCCAGATACAGTGCAGCAACATAAAGATGGCCTCCCAGGCCATCTCCTCCTTTCTCCTCGTGGTAAATACATTCACCAATATATTCCTAGCAGCAACATGCCCACCCATTGAACCATGCCCTTCCATCGACCCAGCCTTACCAGCAGGCCCGGTGACCACGGTCATCACATATTTATCAACCACGATCTCATCCTTCCCGGTGTCCCCATCGGGTTGCACTACGAACACAGAAGGTCGTCCGGTGCCTACGGGAGTTCTGACGAACTTCGCGATCCAAGGTTCGTATCGCCATGTCTCTCCGTCCCATCCCTGTTTTAGGAAATGCCCTGAGATTCGACATACGTTGTATTCTGACGACTCACTTATCCATGGTAGTACAAAATACCTCACACCCCGAAATCCATAACCGTCTTTTGAAGCGCTGGGATACAGAGAGCGATGATCGGAACCTCTATCTCAGTCCAGCGGGATCGTATACCCTGGATTTCCAATCCAAAGACGGGATTGTTTCCTGGGGAAACCTCGAAATGGTGATTAATGGAGAAGTGTGTCCAAAGCTATTATCTGACTTTACAGGATATGGACTTTGCTAATTCGTTCAGTGGACACCGGAAGATAACACGACCAAGATGTTTATGACGAGTCGAGTAGAAGACCCACGGTTCGCTCTTGTCTTTCTTCATGTTTGGCTTTTACAGCTTTTTCGTTGCCCAACTTTCAGTTGCCAATTCATTGTTTGATACCAAGCTGACGCATCCTCCAACACAGAGCAATATTTGACATCATCTACAGCTGTTCCCCCGAGAACGTCCTCCAGCAGGAATTACGACTCAACGCCCGAGGCACATTCCACGGCGGAGACGTCTGCGTACGTCTCACGACCGGTGATCGGTATGAGCTTCGATATTCCCCGCCGGGAAATACGCCTGTGGCTCTTAGTAAGTCCTCCCTTTCCTGAATCGCTTTGCCCCAAAATGTACTACCACATGAAATGTAGTGTGAGGAGGTCACAGTGGTTAAAGATTGGAAGTGGAAAAGTGGTATAGCTGACTTCTTCTCAGAGACGGCGGCTTTATGTATCAAAGTCGCCCTGGCGATCGTGCAGTTGAAGGATCCTCCTAGGGGGTTATGAGTTGGGATGGGATGATGGGTATGGATATAGATAATGGATCTAATAGAAGACTTTTCTGCAAGCGGTGTTCGAGATAACGAGTTTGAGGATATAGGTATAAGGTGGAGGGGCTATTCCTCACTGAGTTTTGTTTAATTGACATGGCGGAAATTAGGAAATTGTGTGCGAAAAACTCTATGATTGATGAATAACAATAGCCTTCTAAGAATGAGTCATGTGTGAGTTGGTTTTGTCTGTTCGCACCAATGGAAAGAACCAAAGATCTCCATCCATCTAACGAAAGAAGAGGAAAAAAACGTCACAAAGATTCCACGCCTTACAGGTTAACCAGACGAAAACCAAAAGAAAGAGTTTACTGTTTATCATTTTTCAGCTTGGCAAATCCTCCATACTGATTCTGTCACAATGAAACGGAGTCATGTTACTAATCCACATCCTGAACCTGTTAAAACAAAGAAGAAATTGCACGTCAGGACATTGGCTTTTATGTCAGAAGCTATTCCAGACGCGAGTGTTGGAAAGACCGTCGATAAAGGAGTTGCGAACGTCCGAGATGGCGCTCTTTAATCTGCGCTCGCTGGAAAAGAGATCTGTCTGTCTAGTAACAGCAGTCTTCAACACGTCAAGAAGTTTCGAGTTATCTGCAACCCCCTTCTCTCATCGAGTCCTTTGACATCTCAATCATCATTCTTGACAAGACTTGGAGCGAAAACTTGCAAGGTCATCTCGATGCAGGCGCGACTGCGCCAGCTTTTGCGTTACTGGTGGTATGAAGACTCTCGACGACCTCGCGAGACGGGATCCAGCTGCAATCAGTAGTGTGACAATGTAAGCTTTGCAAAAGCGAAAATGGACCATTAAAGTCAGGTGAGAATCTCGCCGGCGGTATACTTTTCTCGTAGATTTTCTTTATCCGAATGAAGACCAGAAAACCCTCTCCCATTTTCAACAGCTAGTGAGGAGTGAAATGTCAGACTACCCATTATGCTGTTCCGGAGATGGCGGCGGATGTTGTTGAAGGGGATCATGGGATTGGAAGTTGTCTGGATTTTTGGAAGTTCAAACTTTGGTTAGGGACGGGAGTGGCTTTAATTGGTCGACGGGAATAGCTTCATGTGTTGATTGATATTGTTCGTTATTATGACTTTTCTTGGAGCGTTGCAAGAGATAGGAGAGGGCTTCCTATTGACACCTAAACAAGGCTAAAAAAGAGACGGCCACTGAGTGCGGCAGCAGGGGATCAAAAAGCATTTTAGGATAAACTCGCGATGTGCAACAAAACATCGGATTATGTCCTGATTAGTATAACACGTGAGAACCATATTAACCCGTGAGCGCAAAAAAAGAAAGATAGGATGGCATTTCGTATCCTGATTTACTGTAAGTTTCCATCTTGTTATCTTTTAGGAAGCAATAGAGTGTCTCTGGCTTTGAGGTGTCATTTGAGGAAAGGCCGTTTTACTTGGTGTCTTGAGCGATGGGTCCGAGTTGAAAAGGTCTGATAAGAGTGTAGAGACTACCAAAGTAGCGAAATGACAAATTGACGAGATGTGAAATTCAGCCTGGTTGCTCAGCCACTTGTTATCTCTAATTGATGTGCAGATCTCCTGGAGTCCATGGTCATCTATTGCCATCAAACGAATTGCTCTGATTTTTCACACAATCACGTGTTCCTGTATCAGACCACCAAAGCTGGAGAACACAAAGTGAACCATTCTTGGTCCTTCAATGATTGAAGCTCAAGAGCTTCGAAAGTCGATTGGAATAAATCTGCTTCTAGCGAATCTAAGCATAGATAATTGAGAATGATGACGTGGTTCGGTTTATGAGCACGCAGCGATTCCCCGTACCACCCCCCAAGAAATAATGATATGATATCAATGAAAACTGACGGAAAACATCCATAAGTCCACCATGTCTTGAATTTAAGCTAAATTCTCGTAGCTAGCAAAGGTGATTTTGAGGTGTACATTGTTCCAATGCACAAGAACTTCTTCCTGGATTAAATCGATCGTCAAACAGAAAAGACTACTGTAAAAACATTCATTGATTTCTTCTGCTAGATGCAAGACCTTCTAGGTTCGTCTATTGAGAAAATTCTTGGGACTTGAAATTCTTCCATTCACCAGGTGAATTGATAAGCATACTGATTAGAAAAGCAAAACAGGAAAATGGGGGAAATGTGCCAGCAATTCTAGATGTTGGGGTAAAGAGAAAAGAGTTTTCCCGATCTCCAATGAGCAGCTAATAGGGAAACAAATCCGTAAAGCAAACCCCAGTAGAGAGATCATAGCTGGGTCAACGTTGAAAATCGTCCGTTTAATGCTGTGAAATATTGACCGAGCAACACAAAACACAATACTGACAAATTTATATCAAGGGGACCTGGTAGAAGGGAACGCGGCCTATCTGAGCGTCTGCTTTCCAGATATCCAAAAGGCAACTGCCAAGATGGGTAAAAAGCATGAGGCTCAAGATCGTGTAGCAGTTCCCATAGAATAGGGGTTCCAAGACACTTGGCTGAGAGGAAGCCGCAGACTTGGCGGAGACAAGCTTCGATGCCAAATTCAAGTGGCCAATGACAGGCTCAGAATTTCTCAGTGGAATATTCCGAGTACAGATAAGCAGCAGCCATCAGAGTAAACAAGAGATGTCGACTTTAACCGGATTTGCATTGGCAAGCGCTTGACCGAGAATTTCCAACAACACATCTTGGACGTCTGACGACAGTCGAAAATCTGAGGGAGTCATTGGAAGTTCTAAAGAATTCAAGGCTACCAGTCACCAACCCCGGATGACGGACGGTTGGTAATGCAACGTTTATCAGTTTCCATACGAGTCATTTCCTGCCCCGCAAACTGTTTAAACCACGCAAAACTACCAGCATTTCGATACTCCACGCCGTACGCGGTCGTGAAATTCTCCTCCATACCCATACCTACCCCATTGCGCGCTCTGTTCATCTTCGGGCCTTATTTACCCATGTCTACCTAGGAGATGGTCCATAATCATGCCGCGGATGGCCTCTTCCTAGAAACAAAAGCTTCCCTTACGGTGGAGGGCAAAAGCGGCACGTTATAGTTTGCGCGTGTATATCTCCTTACTTCCACTTTGAAGCGAATTTGAACTAATCTCTCAAGTTTTCATAAAATTTCAGAAGTTTAGTAGGAGACGCTTAAACGACGGTGTTCAATATACCAAATCAATCATAGTAATCGTCAAAAAGGCAAAAGAATATGCTGCCGCTTTTGTTTTTTTTCGCGAGCTCCACTACCAAACAATCCACTTTTTGTTATATGGGGAGTCGTTTGGTTGAAGACCCCAAACCCCCAATGAAGCTTGCTCCGCGGTTCCCACACCGCGAGAAATCATGGAATCGATACGGAGTTGTTCTCATCGCCTTGGGGTCTGGGGCAATCGTTTTTATGCACTCCCCCACGTTTCTGTTCTCGGCCGAGAAATATATATCTGAGCTACCTCCTTCTCCATTCCCTTCTTTTCGGACTTGCCAGACCACCCTCGAATCATCAGCCTATCGCAATCATGGTTCTACGTGGAAAGCAATCCTCTCTTGCCCAGCTCGGTCTGGTTGTCGCTCCAGCATTCGTGCTCTTCGGTTACAACCAAGCTGGAATTGGTGGCCTGCTGAGTGTGAAAGATTGGACTGAGACTTTCCCAGAGATTGATACTGTCCGTAAGTGTTATCCCGCACTCCCCTTCTTTTCAAAGCTATCAAGTTGGGAGGTTTTGTTATCTCTGTTGCTAACCTCCGGCTTACAGACGTCACTGGGGCGGTGAAAATGCAACACTCTCTTGTCCAGGGTACCACCGTTGCTACCTTCGTACTGGGTGCTTTGGTTGGTGCTTTGTCCTGTATATTTACTGGAGATATCTTTGGTAGAAGGTAGAATTATCTTGAAGTATAAGGGGGAACATTGCTAATGTCCTTAAAGGAAATTGATTTTCGGTGGTGCACTACTGACCTTCGTCGGGGAGGCGCTCTGTTGTACCTCTTTCGGCTTGGCTCAATTTATCGTCGGAAGAACGATAATTGGTATGGGTGTGGGGATCCTTTCAGCTACGGTTCCTGTCTGGCAAGCCGAATGTTCTGATGCAAAGTTCGTATTTCCGTTTCTCTTCCCTCCCACACATTTCAAAGAGGTTGAGATATTTCTTGCCTTGAAGTTCTGTGTTGCTGAAACGACAGTACTAACTTCAATACTTCTAGACATCGTGGAAAGCACGTCGTACTTGACGGTCTTTTCATCTCTTTTGGATACGTTTTGGAGTCATGGATCAATCTTGGCTTCTTCCAGATCAAAACCGGATCCGTGTCTTGGAGACTTCCACTTGCACTACCAACCGTGGTCTCGTTGCTTCTTATGGCAAGCATCTTTAGCATGCCAGAATCTCCTAGATGGTTGGTTCGTGTCGGAAAAACAGACGAAGCTAGACGCAATTTGGCAATTTTGAACGATGTTGAGGAGACAAGTGCTGTAGTAAACTTGGCAATTGTACGAATTTCTTTCTTCAAAAGAAGCTGAAATCAGACGCTAACTCACTGTAGGCTGGAATCGAGCACAATGTCGAAGAAATGAAGGAGCAAGGATTGGGACTCAAGGATTGCTTCAAGAGTGGTCCGGATAAGCTATTCTACAGATTTACTCTCTGTATTCTGCTCCAATTCTACCAACAAATGTCTGGAAGCAACTTGATCTGTAAGTCACATTATTCGGCAAAACACCATTGTCATATACTAATCAATCACAGCTGTCTACGCCCCAATCATTTTCCAAGAAGGTCTCAAGCTCGACAGTCAAACTTCTAGAATCCTCTCAGCTGGAGCCCTCACTTGGAAGTTCTTGTCATGCTTCGTTGCTTTCTTCACCATCGACAGATTTGGGCGTAGAGCTCTTTTCTTGGTCAGCGGTATTGGAATGGGGTGTTGCATGTTGTCATTGGCCATCGCTACATCCATGCCAGAAGATAACAAAGCTGCTTCAATCGCCTCCGTATTTTTCATATTCATGGTAAGTTTCTCTAAATCTTTGGCATTGATTATCCACTAACAATCTCCAAGTTCAACTTCTTCGTCCCAATCGGATTTCTTGGAGCCAACTTCCTTTACTGCGCCGAGATTGCTCCTCTAAGTCTCCGTGTGGCAATGTCTTCCGTTTCCACCGCCAACCACTGGCTCTGGAACTTCGTCGTTGCCATGGTTACTCCAACCGCCATCAACGAACTTGGATACAAGTACTATATACTCTACTGCGTTATCTCGTTCTGCATCCCTCTATCCGTTTTCTTCTTCTACCCTGAGACTATGGGTCAGAGTCTTGAACAGATTGACTCCATGTTCAAAGACAATGATTCGATCTTCGCTGTTGTCAAGCAGAGTATTAAACAATCAAAGAGAACACCAAACATACCCGTTGACGAGAAGGGAGATATTATCGCTTCTCACGCTGAAAAGGTTGATGCTGAAAAGGGAATGTCCTCAGCATCCGATAGCGATGAAATTTCCGCTAAGGAATAGATACGAGAAACTCACTGGAATGATAATTGACGAATAGACACTAGATGTGTTCAGGACTAAACTAGACAGTTATTACTGCTACGAATATAATGTTATTTTAGACTTTTCTGAATTTTGGTGAACTTTGCTTGCATGTTCCTGACGGCAAAGGGGCAATTTTTTATCGCCTCAATTCCAGCTATCCTCGGGGGTTTGTTATACTGAGAAACAACCAAAATTATCCTTTTCCGATTGCCAACTGGGCATTTTCTATCCCTGAATACTCTCAAAATCCTAACCACTTCTTCAAATCGGCTTGATCTCATAACAGCAGTCACGTGCCAAAACATGGCCCCTGGCCAACCATATCGCTGGGAACTTGGCATACTTGTACAGAACGCCGAGCATCCCATCTTTAAGACGCGTCATTAAACAATCTCACCACCTGAAGTTTTCTCGAGGTCTCCACATCAAGCACACCGCTGAATTGTACGTACTCGGTATATGCAATGCGGACATAAACTTAAGGCCGTGTCGCTGGCGCTTACCCTTTTATGAATGGGCTGATTTCCTACGGGAAGTGCGCGATTTTCTATGGGGAAGGAAAAGTCTCGGTCATCGGTCTTCGTAAGCACATCAAGATATGGGTTTGCAAGTTCTGGGACAGTTCACATTGATGAATTCATTACCAGTCATACAGTTTGTGAAGGCCTTTTTAACAGTTCCCTGTTTGATTAGGTGTTTCTTGAGTGAGGTGGAAACTTTTACCTTTCGTGTGGCATCACATCACTCATTCTGATCTCATCACTTGAATTATCATAGCTCATCGTTCTAATCTAAGTCACTAATGTTATACAGAATTTGGAAAACACTTGTCACTCTAACTCAATAATCTTCGGTAGACAAGATTCCTCATTCTTCTCTCATTTCTTCTTCTTTAACAAACCAAGCATGGACGAACCGACCTTCTTTGTTTTTTCTAAGCCCCTCTCCACTTTCGCAAGTGCCAACGCACCGTGAAACCCATCGCTCTCGCTTTCGGTGGCTTCAAGGGCAAGTCTTTCCCGGACAGGTGGCAAGTAACCACTATCTCGGGAATATGATGGGGACGTCGGGGAGTTTGAGTAACTTAACGATCCAACGTTCTCGATCGCCCGCTGTTTTGGTGGTCCTGGTAGAGGTTTGGCATCTGTATTATACGACGACGTTGGGAAGTTCGATGGCCTCGATGAGGGGGTAGAAGCTGAAGGGCCTGCTTGGACTGTGGTATTCATCCTAGCCCTAAGTGCTGCTTGTTTCTCCTTTAGCTCGTTTAATCTGCGTTCTTGTTCGGACACTAAAGCTGTGGACTTTGTGGGAGTCCTTCTCGCCAGCTCTTGATGCTTTCCTGCTTCAGTTGACGAGCTCAGTTCAAGAGGCGAAGGTAATGCTTTATGGGTCGTTGCGAGTCTGGCTTTGCTCTTCTCTAATTTCTCTCGAAGTTCAGTCAACTTACGTTCCTTCTCGGAAACTAAAGAAGTCGAAGGTGGAGAATTCTTCGAGCTTGATCCCTCCAACTGCCTCATTGGAGCTGATGAGGGTCGCGCGGATGCTGTAGATGAGCTGGAAAAGGAAGGAGCCGTTGGCGTGGATGACGATGAAGCACCAATAACTTTGAGCTTCAGATTCGCCAACTTCTCACGCATAGCGGCCATTTGGGCTACCTTACTGGTCAGATCCTGAGAGGTAGAGCGCTGCAAACCTAGACCAAGAGATTTAGTCTCTTCTCGGATTCTTTCAACTTCCTTGGCGCTTGATTCGATGGCTTTTTTATGCGCCTTTCCCTCTCTTTCTTTTCTTGCTTCAATCTCCTTGACCCGTTTCTGCTCGACTCGCTTTCTCTGTTCGTCTAATCGCCTCCGTTCCTCATCAAGTCGCTTTTGGTTAAGTGCACGAGCTGTTTTTTCTTGGTCTTGCTTCCAGTATTCCTCACGTTTGAGGGCTTTGGCAAATTCTTCATTATGGCGTTTTCGTGCTTCCTCAAGATCTTGCGTCTTTTTTCGAAGTTCTTCCATCTCCTGGTCGTGCTTGGAGTCTTCGATTTGCTTGCGCTGGTTTTCGACTCGAGCCGCTTCCTCCTATCTCACAGTTAGTTCGAATGTCTTTTGATTATGCCAATGTAGAAGTAATTTCCTCAGATTCTTATTGGAGTTGAGCTTAATACTCCAGAAAAACTGGAAAAATAGGGGGTTACATGGACAGGACTGATGGGATAGCGGTGCAAATTCATGGAAACTTGTGAAGTAATGAGTAATAGAGGCAACTGACCTGGGCTCGCATCGCTTCTTGTGCCTTTCTTGTGTTCTCATCTGCTTGTCTCATTCGCTCCGCCTGGGCACGCTGCTCCTTTTCGAAGCGACGGACTTGTTCATCGTATTTTCGCTTCTCCTCTTCGGCTTCTTTCTTACGGGCATCCTCTGCTTGCCACTCAAGCTGTTTATTATTTGCATCTCTTCGTAAATCCTCCATGGCCAAACGATGCTCCTCCTCCCGGCGTCGTTTTCGCTCCTCGTACCGTTGTTGCTCCGCAGCCATCTCATCTCTTCGTCGCTGCTCTTCTTGGCGTTCAAGCTCTCTCCTTTTTTCCTCCTCACGTGAACGTTCAGCAGCAAGTCGTTCCTGTTCCGCACGACGTCTTTCCTCCTCAAGTTTCTGTCGCTCAGACTCAAGTTGTGCTTGGTACTTTTGCTCTTCTTGCCACTCGAGTTCTTTGCGTCTTGCCTCTGAGCGAGCTCCCTCGGCAGCGAGTCGCTGTTCTGCCATTTGCCGTTTTTCTTCCTCCATTTCTCGCCTTTGTGCATCTAATTTGTCTTGATGCCGTTGCTTTTCTACTCTCAACATCTCTTCCCTTGCACGCGATTCTTCCTCCCATCGACGCTCCCTGGAAAGTCGCCGTTCCTCTAGTTTTTCCTTGTGTCTCCTGTCTTCCTCTCTCATTCGTTCTTCTCTGGCAAAGTTATCCGCCTCCCTTTGACGCTCGCGTGCGAGTCGTCGTTCTTCTTCCATCTGTCGCTTTTGCTGTGCGCGTTTTTCCATATCAGCTTCCAAATCAGCATTTCGCTGTTCTTCCCGAAGCATTTCCTCCCTTCTCTCCCGTTCCGCCTCCATCTTGCGTCGTTCGTGGGCATATCTCTCTTCTTCAGCACGTAGCTCAGCACGCTGTTTCTCTTCCCTCAACTCTTCCTCCCTCGCTAGTCTCTCAGCCGCCATGGTCTCTTTCTTGGCTTCTAATTTTGCACGCTCACGTTCGGCTTCCATCTCAAGCTTCTGCTCCGCTAATCTCGCTTCACCTTTAATTCTCATCTCTTCTAACTCTCTTTTCTGCTTCTCATTTCGTGCCTTCTCGGCCAATCCATCCATTTCGCGTCTCTGCTGCTCAATGTAACCCTCCTGATTTCTGATTTCGGCATCAATAGCATCGGCTTCTTTTTGCAAGCGCAAATTCTCGGCTTCGGTGGCTGCACGTAATTGCTCATCAGCTCTTCGAGCTTGCTCAGCTATGCGTTGCTTGTTTTCTTTGAAGGCAGTTTCCATCTTGGCGTCTGCTGCCGCTGCTCTGAATTTTAGTGTTAGTGTGTATGACCAAAACCTTTTCCTAATGGATTTGATTATGCTAGGACATTCAAGGAAGATTGAAGGCATATCTCGCAAAACTTTCAAGACTATTGGCAAGCTTTCCGAGCATCCCATAATAACCAGAAAACCCACAATCGCCTAAAAAATAGACTCACCGACGTTGAGCCTCCTCAGCCTGTCTCTTCCGTTCAGCCTCAGCCTTCTTCTCCTGCTCCTTCAAGTTGGTTTGAAACTTGCGGTTACGCTTTTTCCCGAATGCCGCCTGAAATGCCTCCTGAGCAGTCGCATAGCTGTCAGTATCCTCGTCGTAAAGCTGCATCTCCCCTCCTCCTTCCTCTTCATAACTTGACCCGTGTTCCTCAAGAAATCCTCCATGTTGATTAGACTGACTACCTTCAGATTGGTTGAACTGAACTCCTTCGCTGAACCCGGCACTAGCATGACCTTCGTAGCGCTCCTCGGTAATCGTTTCTTTGATGTTTGCTCCGGGTCCGATGAAGAACTCGTCCATGACCATTTGGTCGCAGAAGCAGCTGAGCTGACCGCAGTAGGTGCATCGAGCTGCTGCTGCTCGAGGCATCTTGGGATAGTTTCTCATGGTTCCTGTGTGTTGTGTTAAGCGGTATGCTTTTGATGCTGTATATATTGATGGTATGATGTTTATGTATGATGTAGTTGTAAAGTGTAATATATTTATTACTTGACACCTCGAGAAGAGATGTGTGGCAGGGTGAAAGGAAAACCCGGAGAAGATAAAATTCAAGGTGTTATATACTTCATGGTGAATGATGAAGGCTTCTGACCAGTAGAATAATACATTCACTCCTCCATCCCAAGCTCATAGTACCTTTGGTATTCACCACTGCTTAAACATTCACTTATGTATATTTCTTAGCTTAATCGTACGGAGCCACGTGGGGACTTAGGAGCAGGTTCAGGCAACTAGGTATCAAAGCAACAAAGCAAAAGCCCCCCTGAGTTCATTGGCTCAAGATAGCAAGCTGCTGATAGTCATTTATTGTTACATTAGATAATCCCAGGGTGACTCAATGAAAATGGCAGCAGAATGGGTCATGTGGGGGTGCTCTACCTGTGGCGTTGGGCTGTTTGGTAGAAAACTGAACCAAGTACAGGAATGGCTAGTTTAACATGGAGTAACTCAGTTCATTTAATATCTCTTCTCATTCTTCCGCAAGGATGAAGGATTTCTTGTCTTTTTTTTGCGTTGATTTTCTTTTTGCTCAAAGAGGGACATTTCTTTTCTGGAGATCGCATGGTGTTAAGCGAGTGCGGGGGAGGTGATGGTGAATGGAGGCGAGTTACGGGTCAAATGTTCCTTGGCCCCCCTTGAGTCGCTAACTCTCACATTACCAGACAATGACTTCGAAAACTATGGTATGTTTCTTGTCACTCCTAGTTTGGAGGGCGAGGAGCAACATTCCATACTCAGAACGTGTCGTATAGATTTTTTTCCAGCAAAGACCAAAGGATTTACCATTCTTCAGCAGATAGCGTTTCTATTTGAAAAAAGTTCAGTCCTTTATTCAACCACTTCCCAGGAGCACTCGCCACCTGTACCTCACTACGTCAAACTTAAAACTTTGATTCCAAAACAACTTTTCATTTGAGATGATTAACAACACAACTATATAATAAATCCTTCTAGTCCTGTACAAACAATATCTCAACAATGGAAGCCCACATCACACTCTATTCGTGATTTAGCCTAACCTCTACTAGCCTTCGCCTGGGCCTTGAACTACTGTAAAACGCAACACATTTCTTGCTACATGTCCTATCATGGGCCTTCTCTGCCCTCTCTTTCTTCCTCTCCTTCCTTCGTTCGTCAATCACCTCCTTTTTCTTCTTCTCAGTCTCATTAAGAGCCTCTTCCTTCTTCCCAATTTCAGGATCCGTATGCTGGCGCTCAACCCACTGCTGCGTTTCAAACTTCCTCTTATTCATCCTCCGGTTTGATTTCAAAGCCCTCTCTTCCCTTTCCATCGCCTTCTCCCTTTCACGCTCCTCAGCTTCCTCAGCTTCCTGCGATTGCGCAACCATCGCCAGGGTTTTCTCCTTGAGACATACTCGTTGCGCTGCCTCAGCCTGTGCAATGCGCTCGTGCTCCTCTTTCGCGGCAAGTGCTCTGCGTATCCGTTCCTCGGCTATGTAAGCATTGCGGGCTTGTATGAATCTCCTGAGCTTTTCATCCTTTTCTCGTTTGCGGGCTTCTTCGACTCGGATTATTTCCTCCAAATGATCTTTGCGCTCTTGTTGAATTAGTCGGATTTCTGCCTCGGCCTCTTGTTCAAGGCGTCGTGTTTCTGCTTCGGCTTCTTGTTCAATGCGTCGTGCTTCTGCTTCGGCCTCTTCTTCTTTGAGTCGTTTTTCTTCTGCGATGAGAGCTGCTTCCATCTTATCCATCATATTGCCACAAAAACTGTTCCATTTCATAACTGTCAAGACTCCGAGGAATGCGAAGAGAATGTCGCGCCATTGTGTTGAGAGGATGTGTGATGTAATGACGAAGTGTATAACTGGAAGTGCCGGAATCAAAAGTAAGATTGGAATACAGGAACGACGTTTTGCAAGGCGAGGTGAGTGTGTAATATTATCCCTGAAAAGGAGGTGCATCTCGAGTGCCGAGAGAAGCAGAAAGACGATAATTGGGAGCACGAATATTATGTTTTCGTACACTATCGTGCTCCATTTTTGGGTGCTCTTGCCTATAGACATATCCTCCCACCATTGGAACGCGGCGTCGAGTGTCCATTTCTGAGCTTCGGAGTATTTCTCTTGAATGTCGTTTACATTGCGATTGAAGTATGTCTCGGCGAAGGCGTCTCGGTAGGCTTCGAGGTGTTTCGCTGTGATGGCCTTTGCGAAGGATTCTAAGGGTTCTTTCAACGTTACTGAATTTTGGAAGTCGCCGTTCACTTCCTGAGTTTTGAACAAATTTTCAACCGCCAGGGATAAGCGAGAACCCTGCTGTAAGAGAGATGCCCGGATATTGAGCTCCAAGTCCTTGGTGTATCGTTCCATGATGGATTCGACAGTATCGAAATTGCCGGACTCCATGGTTCAAAGATACTGATTTTTTTTAGAATGAACTTGGTGGAGGAGAGGGAGTGGTTTTTACCAAGTGGTAGCTTTTGACAGGCTGGATTTGATGAGTCTGGGTAGATGCGCAAAAACGTATGTAAAGAAATGTGAGAAAGAAGAAAGAAGTAAATCCCAAAATTTGGGAAAACAGGCCTCTGATATACCCACCCACAAACTTTCTGATGTAGATATTCACACCGGCGGTTCCTGCACTAGACGTAAGCTTTCTGCGACTATCTACCGCTAATCGCTTAAGTGCGGCGCTTTCTCAAAACTAATTAAGTAGTTAGCTTGCGAGCCCCAGATCGCCAGTAAACTTTTCAGCGTTCTTCTGTCATATCTCGGTCCAGTGTAGCAACAGTAGCGTCAGGAGTGAGGGGATCAGACCTGGACTTGCAAGGTACTTTGTAGTCTAATAAGTCAGCGGCATGTGTTCTTCGGGACTGGGTAGTGTAGTGGAAGCAACAATACGACACTATACCCACACATTAAGAACAAATGAACAATCCAACCTCAACCAAAACCATGAGAAAGACCCAATACAGTCAAAGTCAAAACTACAAATACCTCCAATCACACAACACAAATTTTCACCCAGAAAAAAAACAAAACAAAAAAAAAAAAGAGAGAGACCAAGGGAACCTCACAAATACTGCACAAGTCTACGAATAAGAACCTTTTTGGAATGCTTCCTACACTACGGTACCAAACCTAAGCTAACGCTACTTTACATAAAACACTACTATGAAAATAGCCAAATAGAATAGTAGTAGTACGGAGTTTGGCTTTCTGCGCGTCCTGAATCTCTTGAATTCTTGCTTCTTAACTTAACTCCAATTCTTCCTCCTCCTCGGCCCCCCACATCAAATCTGACCGAGAACCACTTCCACCACACCATCTTGCAAATTTGCGGGCAACAAACACTGGTATCAAAACTACACGGGCACTAATGCTATTTCCAATCCTCCAAACATTCAGTGGGTTTATGGTGCAGCTGCAAGCTTGGCGAATTCAGCGTTGAGCTTTTCAATCTCTGCACGGGCCTTGGCGTCCTCAGGGTCTTCGTCCTCGTCAATCTGAAATCTGCTCTGGATTGGTGTAGGTGGAATGGCAATGTTTGCTGGCTCGACGACGGTTTCCTTGACAGGGACCTGAACAGAGATCTCTGGCTCGATGACAGCAGGAACCTCTTGTTTAGTCTCGACAATTTCGGGCTCTTGAACCTTTGGCGCTTCAATAACTGGAGTCTCCTCCTGAGATTCAACAACGGCCTCAACAACTGGTTCAGGAACTGCAATTGGCTCCTCAACTGGTCCCTGCTCCTTTACAGGCTCTGGGACAACAGCTTCTTCCTTGACCTCGGCAACTGGGGTGACGACCTTCTCCTCGACGACAGGCTCATCCTTAGCAACCTCAGGTGAAGCTTGAGCCACCTCCTCGACCTTGATCTCAGCAACTGGCGCAATCTCAGTGGCCTCTTCAACAGGCGCTGCCTGAATTACTGGGGCTTCAATCACCTCCTCTGGAACAGGTGCGGGCACATCGACAACCTTCTCCTTGGACTCCTTCTTAGGGACAGTTTTTGTGGATGACTTGATGACTGATGTTGGCGTCTTAGGTGCCTTCTCTACCGGCTTCGTGGTCTTTGTAGCAACTTTTGCTGGCGCAACTTGTTTGGCTTTTTGTTTAGGGCTAACCTTGGATGAATCATGTGTCTTCGCTGGGGCCTCTCCAGTAATTTGACGTTTGACGGATGGAGCTCTTTTTGGAACCACTGCATTTTCGGCTGGCTTTTCAGCAGTCTTTCCTTGGGATGCAGTCGTTGGTCGCATCATTCGTGCTAGGAAAGATTCATCGGCAGGTGCAGGTTGTTGGGCCAAACTGGCCCGAGATGTTTTCTTCTTGATGGCCTGTGCTGGTGGAGGACCGATTGAAGGTCTGGTACCACCTTGCCTAGTGGTCGAAGGCTTACGACCTACAGAAGAGGTTGTACTTACCCGGCTTGGTGAACGAGCAGGAGAGCGAGCAGCGGCAGGGGCTTGGAGAGAATTGGTATGAGAACTGCCAGATGCACGACTAAGTGAACGCCGTGGAGGCGACGCTGCTGTCTTCGAGCCGGAGGATGCGGTGTGGGCAGTCAGAGATGCTGGTAGCTTGACTGGTCGTGTTGGTGACTTTGGACGGGGCTTCTTGAAGCCGGTTTGTGGTGGAGATTCCTTGGGGATTCTTGTTTTAGGAGCAGCGCCATTAGTATGTGTTGAAGGTGGTCTACTGGATGATCGGGTGGCAGTGGGCTTTGGTGCTAAAGAAGCTCTGGGAGCCTTGGTGTCTTTCCGTTTTGTTGTTGCCTTAGTGGTTGTTTCCTTGGGGGCTGTTTCCTTGGGTTTTACAGGTGCTTCCTTAACTTGTGCTTCCTTGGGTTTTGTTTCCTTCGGTTGAGCTGGTGCCTCCGTCGCCTTCGTCTGGCCTCTGTTTGGTGTTGTCGGTGTCTTTGGAAATAAAGGTGATTTGAGGGCTCTCGGAGTATCTGTCTTGGAAGAAGCTGTGGGTTTGGCGGTAGAAATTGCTACAGGCTTGGTTGCAGTCTTGGTTGCTGCTGACTTCTCAGCAGGTTTGGTCGTCGGAGCTTTGGCAGCACCATTTGTCTTTCCAGTTGAGACCTTCTCTTCCACTTTGCTGGGTGCAGGTGGAGGAGTTGCAGGCTTTGCGGGTTCCGTCTTCTCAACGCCATTCGAGACAGGTATTGTCTTTTCAGCTGGAGGAGCCTTCTCCTCGACCACCTCTTGTGTTTGTTCCTCCATGGCAGAATGCTTCTTCAACGCCTGTTCGAGAGCCACGGATTGTTTCCTTGCCTGCATATCGTTCACGGTCTCGTCTTCGGCGCCGATGCTTGTCCGCCGCCTCGATGTGTTGGAAGCAGCGCTGTCTGCTCTCATGAGGCCTATCTGGTTTCCCAGCTGGCCACTTCGTTCGACGGTCACGAAACTGGTGCGGACTTTGGAAAGAGGTCGAGGTGAAGCCCCTGTGCTTGGAACGCCTTGCAGGTTTAGTTCAGAGTCAACTGCAGAAGGAAGGAGCTCCTGACCTAATGAACCACTTCCAGGGGAACGACCTCGATCCTCGCTCTCTGCGGGATCTTTATTCTCGAACATGGCTCGCAGGTTACGCACACCTCCCGACATCATGAAGGTGCGCGTTGTCTCCTTGTTCTGTGCGATGCGGACTGCCGGGGGAACGAGCTGTGGTCGATTTAACTGCTCGTGTCAAGACTCGACAAGCTGGGTGCCCTTTCTACGCATGCAGCGTTGGGCCAGATAGTGTTGAGTTCCACCGATTTAGTTGGGAAAGGTGTAACTATTCAAGGGATGGGATGGATGGACGGGCTTTTGCACTCGGGGGAGCTGTGCTGTGGTTGGGCACTGTAATTAAATATCGGGGATGGGGTCAGGAGTAAATGCCGTGGTCCAGCTAGCGTGGAGACAAGGGAGGGAGTGTGAGTGCAAGTGAATTGGGTGGTAGGTGGTAGGTGGTACGAGGACGCGACACTGTGTCAACAACGCCTTCGTCAACGATGTCAGAATGGTCCTCAAGTACTCGTGATACTCGAGTAGTGGTACCGGTAGCAAAGAGAGCATCTGTTCACATGGGGATACGGAGTAGTTCGTTCGATGACTTTTGGCAGATCAGATCTCCTGCGTTTCGAATGTACGAAGTATACAGTCAAGCACGCATCGAATATGCAGGGGCTCGGTCCATTTGGGCTTCGAGCCTTCGAGAGCTTCCTTTCCCTCAGATAGATGGTGGGGAAATTCGGGCGGGAGCTAGGGGGGGCCAGTCAGGAAAATAGGGGCAGCTTCTGTGACATGGGAATGCTTAAATTGGTAGCCGAAGACTCGGTACGGAGTACGGAGTATTTGTACGAAACGGGGCATCAATGAGCTCATCTACGACGTATTCTTACTGTGTCTGGAATTGTGAAATCCACCAGTTCAGAACCATACGAAGTGCCTACGCAGTGTCTACGTACCAAACTTCGCTTGAAAGTAAACACTACATGCACCTACCGGTACCAACGCAAGCTAAGGATGCACGGCAACGAGAGCAAGTCTAACCGGCATATGACGGCAGACGACCTACTATAGCCTCAGGCACCCCAAATACGAGGGTCGCCTCGGCTGCTCTTCCCCGACTTGCCGACCGTGCAACGGGGGATCGAAAATTTGTGGCCGACATCGCTTCTAGAACTTCCATCTGTACCAACAGCACCCAATATACAAAAATGGCAGCCAGGACGCTACGAATTGGTAGAAACTCCCAATCAACCACCGACTGACTCCCACTGACCCCCTACAGGTCTCATTCCCGGAGATGGAATTGGAAAAGAGGTCATCCCTGCAGGCCGCAAGATCCTCGAAGCTCTCCCTACCTCAGTAAAGCTTAAATTCGAATTCGTCGACCTGAAAGCCGGCTTCGAGACCTTCGAGCAGACGGGTGCTGCATTGCCAGACAAGACCGTTGAGATTCTCAAAAACGAATGCGATGGTGCTCTTTTCGGTGCCGTGAGCTCCCCCTCCAAGGCTGTGAAAGGCTATTCCTCGCCCATCGTCGCACTTCGCAAACGTCTCGATTTGTACGCCAATGTCCGACCTGTGAAGAGTGTAATGACCGCCAAGAATCCAATTGATATGGTTATTGTCCGGGAAAATACTGAGGATCTTTACGTCAAGGAGGAGAAGACATATGATGCTCCAGACGGTAGTGGCAAGGTTGCAGAGGCTATCAAGAGGATATCGGAGAAGGCCTCCTTCCGAATTGCTACTATGGCTGGTGAGATTGCTTTACGCAGACAGAAGATTCGGGAGAGTGGAGCTCCAAGCATACACGAATCACCACTGGTGACTATCACCCACAAATCCAATGTTCTCAGTCAGACCGATGGTCTTTTCAGATCTACTGCCAGAGAAGCATTGGCCAACTCTAAATTCTCGAGTGTTGGTGTGGAGGAACAAATTGTTGATTCGATGGTTTACAAACTTTTCCGCCAGCCTGAAACATACGACTGCATCGTTGCACCAAACTTGTATGGAGACATCTTGTCTGATGGAGCTGCAGCACTAGTTGGTTCTCTTGGTCTTGTTCCAAGTGCCAACGTCGGAGAAGGATTTGCTATTGGAGAGCCATGCCATGGTAGTGCACCAGATATCATGGGTCAAGATATCGCAAACCCAATTGCTACCCTGAGAAGTGTAGCTCTCATGTTGGAATTCTTGAACGAGGAGGAGGCTGCGGCTAAGATTTATGCTGCCGTTGATGGCAATTTGGAGGCTGGGTTATTGTTGAGCCCAGATCTTGGGGGAACTGCCACCACAACTGAAGTTGTTGACGATATCTTGAGGCGACTATAAATCTCTTCAAATAGTTCGTAAACCTCATAAGTAAAAAAGGAGAATTGCAAATTTGATACCAATCAAAAGTTTTTCCCTGCTGCATCATTCATTGCCTGTATTTTGACGTAATTTGTACAGTCATCCCATCCCAATGCTCGATGCTGTACCTGAGTACTTGGATCCGACCACAAATGCCCAGTCCATATCATACACATATCATCACATTCCCTCATCACACACCCTACAACACCCTACACAACAACATTCCTCCAACCTTCCTCTCCACACAATCCCTCGCTTCCATAACCCCTCTATCAGTACTAACAAAAAGGCACTCTCCCGGCCTCGTAAGCCCTTTCACAAATCCCGCCTCCTTCCCCTTAACAATTCTCCCCAGCCCATCAACATCCATCCAAATCCGCTTCGTAGGTTTACTAACCATGCCCATGGAACTCAACACCGGCTCGTTATTGTAATACTTCATGCCTAACCACAGACGTCTGGTGCTGATGTTCTCCTGCGTTACCGGCTCGGGGACGTAGGTTGAGAGGGCATCGAGGGGTGGTGGGGTGAGGCCGCCTCGTGTGACGGAGGAGAGGAAGCCGGACGCTTGGAGGGCCAGTGAGAGGGTGAGGATCATGTTTGTGGAGGGGACGGAGGTGAGGCCTAGGCGGGCTTTGGAGGCGTTTTGGAGGTGGGAGCAGACGTTTGCGAGGATGACGAGAGACATGGTGGGTGGGTGGTTGTCCGGCTTGTCTCTCCAGGTGTAGTGTGAAGCCCGCGCAGGCGCAAGCAGGTAGTTTTGTGGACTACTGGAATTGTAGGGTAGCTTCAAAAGTTTTCGTGGGTTGATTTGTCGTATTGCCGTTTGCATGTGCGATTGGAGAGGTAGAGACAGTGGTCTGGGAGACTGGTGTCTGCGGTAATATGGCGGAGTGATGTTGATTGGCAAGGTTGCTTGGTCCCGGTTCTGGGATGAATATCAAATGAAGCTCACGATGTCGAAAAATAATACCTGCCAAGGTTTAGGTAATACTTGGCAGCGGGATTCCGCCCCTCCAGTTCAAAGAACCGACCCCTGACCTTTTGCCTGTGCTAAGCTCTCGAGCCTCTGTTACTTTCCCGAGTCAAAACCCAACTATCAACTCTCAGGTCGCATTCATGCCACCTTGTAAGATTTCTGGTTGAGGTGCAAAATTGTGAAAAGGGTTCAACACTTTCCGCAGATACCATATATATCTCCCTCCAGCCAACCACAAGCGCGGTCTGCAGGCAAAACTCGCGCTTAAACCACCACTCGTGGTATGAGCTTCTCATTGGTTGTCATTTCTGCAAGTTACCGCCGAAGTTCATCAACCCCTCCAACTACATGCCCCCCATATTCCATCCGCAATTCCAGGTTGCGACTCACTCTGTCTCTCGTCCTTTTCTCTTCTCCAACTCTGCTGCTTTCTCTTGTTTTGTGCTTTTTGGCAAGCGCCGTTACTTTGTGTCTTTACTCGTACCATATACCCACTGCGCAAGGCGTTCGGAAAAGGCAGCAAGCATGGCTGCGAGACCTGGCGAGGAGCTGGTTGCGACTCTGTAAGCTGAAACGGCCTCGATGGGCGGTTTTTTGGTGCTAATATTGCCACAACAGCTTTGCCGATGTACACTATTACTATGGCCCTCCTACTGCCAAACCCCCTCATCATCGATTCGATAAAGGCTCCTATGTGTATCTCTTTGAAAATCCCGGTCATCGTCGTGCGCGATTAGAGGTCGCGAACAATGCTGGTACTCCAGACCAAGATGCTTTTAATGGACGTTAGTTATTAAGGCGTAGATAAGATTATCGTGCAGCTTGCTGACCACATAAAACCAGATTTGGATGCTGCCCATGTTCAGTACTCATATAAACACTCGACTCTTATCACATTAACGGTAGATGGGTCAAATCGAAATTCCCTTGGAAATCTAGCAGAAAATCAGGAATGGCACCTACCTACATTCGATCCCCGAAACGAAAACAAATACATGTACAAACTACATACCATCGATCTTTATTTTTGGCTAAAAGAGGATGCCCTTCAATTTTTGAATGGAGTTAGAAGGGTGCTGCCCCAGCCACAAGTTACTATTCAAGATGAGCCAATTGCTCCAACACCCCATCAACATGATATGAGCCCAGTAGTGCAAAGACTAGAAAATGTTGCTATTGCGGATCCATCTTATCAACAGGGCCAAACACAAAATTCCCAAACTTCATCACATCTTCCGGCTTCATTGACTCGAAGTAGTACAGGCAATTTTCCCGGACCTCCAATTGCCCCGGTTTCTCGTAGCACCACATTCCCTGGGGCACCAATATCAGCGACACCTCAAAGTATGGAAGCCACGAATTTTGTGCCTCTAGCATACAATCCCGCTGCCCCTGCTGCACCGGAGACAATTCATCATAGAGAAAAAACTCCCCCTCCTGAAGATGGCGCAGGAAATCCACTTGTAGCAGCTGCGGCAGCTGACCAAGGTCAACATTTTGGAAACCCATATCAAAACCACGGAGGTTTCTCCGGTCCTCCACAACCACAACAAGCAAGTTATTTCCCGGGCCCTCCAGCTGCCCATACCCCACCATCACAATATGGCCAGCCTCCCCCTCCCTCCGCTGGTTTTCAATCAAACTTTGGTCAACCTCCTCCACCACCCTGTGCTGGATTACAATCACCATACGCCCAGCATTTCCAAAATTCATTTGCTCCTCCTCCCACCGCACCCTCAACATCCAGCCCTTATTCCCAACTTCCATCAGCGGTCGCATCTGCACCTCCACCGCCGTCATTATACCAACACCCAACGCCACCCGCCACAACCGCCCCTCACATCCCCGTAACCCAACAATACGCCCAATACCCCTTATCCCCAGGCTTCTCATCCCCGGGACTATCAACACCCAGCACCAGCATCTACTCCCCAACAAATTCCACCTTCGTCCCCGGCACTCCACTCTCCGTTGCACCACCGCCAGCAAGTGCACCTCCTCCACCACCGGGCGGCTTCTCGCAGTACAGCTATCAACAACAACCCGATCCATTAAGTAATACCCGTCCACATCAGACGGATTACTCGATTCACCAACAGGTCTACCGACCGACCGAGGGGGAAGCGATGAAAGCGCAGAAAGCACCGAAACCTCCGGGTGGTAAACTGGAAGAGAGAGCGGGGAGGTTGGAGAAAGGTGCTACGAGTTTGTTTAAGCGACTGGAGAAGAAGATTGGATGAATAAAGGTAAGTTTGGGATGAGAGGATTTTAACGGGGATCATGTGGTTATAGAGGTGATTGGAAGTGCGTGTATGAGATGCGAAATCTTGGTGAGTAGATTGGTGAAATTGTATTCTTTCCAAATTTTCAATCCAGAAAAAATTTGAAGGTGCTTAATTTTTTAGCTGTTGAGCTCTTTGGTGCGATGTATCTACTTGATCTATACATTTCCCATTTCATTATGTCGTTACATCATTTCGATCCTTTCAAACATCTATAAATATCTCCTCCCTTTTTTCCCTTCTCTCCCTTCTCTCCATTGACCCTTCCCCTTTTTCACCTCTCGCCAAATGATGTCACGTGATATAAACAACGTCTTGTCACCAGGCGGCTTCCTCTCCTTCTCTCTTCAGAAGGGCTATTTCGCTGCTGAGACCTGGTGGCCTGGCCGCTACCGCACTAGCAATAATAGAAGGACGTCAAACCGTGTCAACTCACACATCCAGCTCCTCGAGAAAGTAGTATATAGCGGAGCAAGAGCCATTCTCCCAGTATACCGGGCAACCCAGCTTGCAGCATTGCTCAAAGAAGCTCATATCCCCCCGCCCGAAATCGCACTTAATCAGGCGACACAGGCCTTCGCAGCCCGGACAGCTAGTCTTGACCCACGTCACCCTCTCCAAAAGCGAGCCACAAAAGTAATTCAGCTAGGCAGGCCGACATCCCGA